CAGAAAGAAATTCTTTGCGAGATTTGAAGTGTGCTTCGAGTCATTATCTTGCTGGAAGATTGCTCTTAAGGGCATATTGTCTTCCATATAGGGTAACATGACATGCTTTAGTATGATGAACACAAACTAATTCTCTTCTGACACGAAACTGTACTAAACTAATGTTGAAAAGAATTTGTCTACATATTTTTGTCCCTCATAAAAAAGTGCTTGTATTCAGACTTGTATTGTGTTCATTGCAGATAATGTAAAAACGAGGAATTTAGTTTTTCTACTAATGACGCATTTGTTTATGGAGCAATGAAATATGAATTCGTTTTCTAAAGGTATTTAGGTAAATATTCATATTTGTCTATATACTTTTGTCCATTACTGTATATATAGGAGAAAAATAAAGCTTCCGCCTTTAGTTGGGCACTTCGACAAAATTCAAGCAAAATATACTTTATTAATCTCTAGCTTTCAATAGACATACAGCTGTGTGTATTTTATACTAATTTTAACGATTGTACCATGTATCCAGCTTTCACCAGGTAACTAAATGTTTCCCTCAACTTAACCTTTAATAACATTTAGCAACAATCTCACATACTATTGTAAGTAATTTGAAATCATTTGCAAAATAGTTGCTATTTCTTCTTAATGTTATTGCAGCTCCTGATTAAAGTATTAAAAGTCCTCATCTCTTTAATCTTGACGAAGTACCCAACTAAAGGCGGAAGCTTTATTTTTTCACCTAACTGGTTGTTAGACGACAATGACCACGTCTCAAAAAAATAAATATATATATACAGAGTTTGTCCGGGAAGTAATACGACTGAGTCGATTTAAAAAAATTATTGAGCTAATCGTTACAATTCTTTAAAAACTTTCAAAATAGGCTCCTTCTGCGTCGATGCAGCGCTGCCAGCGCGATTTCCAAGCATTGAAGGCGTCTCGGAAGGCATTCTCCGGAATAGCCTTGAGAGCCGCGGTGCATGCTGCTTGGATCCCCTCTGTCGTCTCAAAATGCTTGCCTTTCATCGGCCTTTTCAGGCGAGGAAACAAAAAAAGTCCGCGGGGGGGGGGGGGCACATCTGGGCTGTAGGGCGGCTGCGGAAGCGTTGGGATGCCGGCCTTGGTCAAGTAGCTGTTCACAAGAAAGGCGGTGTGAGCCGGGGCCTTGTCGTGGTGCGACTTCCAGTCGGCTGCGATGTCTTGTCGGACCCGACTGACCCTTCGTTTGAGTCTCCTGAGCACTTCCGCGTTGACGGTTTGTCCAGGAGGAACAAATTCAGAGTGGACGATGCCTTTGATGTCAAAAAAGACAATGAGCATCGTTTTCACTTTGGATTTGCTCATTCTTCCCTTTTTTGGACGAGGAGACGCCGTCGTGTGCCACTCGGAAGATTGCCTCTTTGTCTCGGGATCATACTCAAAGATCCACGACTCGTCACCTGTGATTACGTTCTTCAAAAATTGGGGGTCACTTTCACACATGTTCAAATTTTCTTGGCACACTTCCACTCGCCGCAATTTCTGGTCGTCAGTGAGCACTTTTGGGACCATCTTCGCATGTTCAAATGCTGTGTCATAATGTCATGAACCACAGATTTTGGTAAATTTAACATCTGTGCAATTGAACGAATACTTAGTCGACGGTCTGAGTTCAAAACTTTGCGCACACGATCACATTATCGGTGTTTGTCGAAGTCGAAGGTCTTCCAGCACGGTCTTCATCAGCGATCTCTTCCCGGCACTCCAAAAAGGCCTGGTGCCACCGAAACACACCACTTCTTGCTAAAGCAACACCTGGGTAAGCCCGCTTGATCATATCAAACGTCTCCGTCACAGATTTACCGAGTTTCACACAGAATTTAATCGCGTACCTCTGCTCTAATGAACGCTGCATTTTCGGCTTGCACCACTCACAGAAACACGTCGCGCGAAAATGCCTGTCCTGACTCTCCAAGTGCTCGGAGACAACTGACCAGCCGCTCATTCGTTAGCTAGGAACGCGCTCTACCGAATCCAGTCGGTGCGCGCACGCTCCGAAGTACAGTCATGGCGGAAGAAAATGAGACCTATTACTTTCCGGACAAACCCTGTATATATATAATATCACGAAACAGCAGGGATATGCATAATCAATGATCAACGTACTCCACCAGGTGGAATCCGTTACACTGATAAACACAGGATTTGTGACATGACAATTTTTGGGTGTATCTTATGTATTATGAGACCCTTAAATCAAATCTAAAAACAGAATGTTTCTGTCACCCACGGATATTGGGTAACATCTACTTTTATGAATTACAATATGTAACATCTTATATTGCTGCATTTCTCGGCGCTTATGCGATAACGCATATATATAATGTTAAGACCTGTCCATTCCTGTTTATTAGAAGCAAGCTCTATGTTTAGAGCGTTTATTAGTAGACTAATAGCAGCCGAGTCAGTTACGTTTTCTGTGTTGAAGAGTACTGAGATGTTCTGAGTACTTTTAATTTTTGTTAAAACGGTGTGTTGTTTTTAGTTTATTATGATCGAACTAGCTTTATGAACAATGCCTAGAAATTGCGTAAATAGTGCAAACAGTTTTTGTTATTTGTGTTTAGAGCTAACTTTTAAATCCCAAAAACGTACTTTTACTCTCCTTGTGTTGAAAGCATACAAACTATATTTTGGTATTAAAGTGGCGACCAAAATAAACTATGGGCCCCTCATATATGTTGTAACACTTGTGTAACGTTGTTAACAGGTTGGTTGAGAGGCGACAATCGTAAAATGTCCTTTGTGGTACCAATGATTTGGAGAGAACCGAGAGACCATACTACTGATTGCTATTTTTGTCTCACAAATATTAAAGGTATGGGACCAAAATCGAAACATACTGTTAAGTATTTTCTGTTCCACCAGAATCTTGGTATTTGGATGAAAAAGTCGAATCCACCGATTCTGAAAGTGATGGTACAGAAAGCGTAAACATTTCCGTTCCTTCGTTTGACCTACCAGGATGTTCAACAGCGACGCATTTGATCACGCGGGGCGAATTTACTTAGTTCGAGAATTAAATCTGTCAAAATCCCAGTCAGAACTTTTAACGTCAGGATTAAAAGGATGGAATCTTCTCCACGGTGATTTTAACATTATTTTTTACCGAAAACGGCAACAACTGTTTCCGTCAAGAAAGGGAGTTGACATATTACTCCAATGTTAACAGTTTGTTTGACGCGTTAGGACAGAAACATGATCCAAATGATTGGCGCCTATTCATGGATTCCTCTAAGCTTAGTTTAAAAGCCGTATTGGTACACAAAGGTTATAAATATCGATCTGTACCTATAGCGCACGCAGTTCATATGAAGGAATCATATGAAGATATGCGAGTTCTGTTAGAGCATATCTGTTATAATGAATATGGATGGGGGCCATATGTGCAGATTTAAAGGTAATAGCTCTTCTTGGAATGCAACTGGGATATACCAAATATTGTTGTTTTCTTTGTGAATGGGACAGATGTGCGCGAGATCGTCATTATGAACAGAAAAAGTGGCCACTACGTCAGGTATTAACTGCGGGCCTCAGAAACATTGCTCATGAACCACTAGTTGATCCCGAAAACGTGTTGCTTCCACCTTTGCATATTAAGTTGGGACTGATGAAAAATTTTGTGAAAGCTATGGATCGAAATGGAAGAGGGTTTCTGTATTTAAAACAAACATTTCCGAGACTTAGTCGACAAAAATTAAAGAAGGCATATTTATTATTTGACAGTGCTCTAAATGAAACTGAATTACGAGCTTGGAATGCTTTTATATCAGTTACTGTAATTTTTTTAGGCAATGTGAAGATATTGTGAGTGCTTATAAAGGAATGGGATGTAACATGTCTCTAAAAATTCACTTTTTGGATTCTCATCTCGATTTTTTTCCGGAAAATTTAGGTGCAGTAAGTGATGAACGTGGTGAACGGTTCCACCAAGACATTTCTGCTATGGAAAAACGGTGTCAAGGCAAATGGAGTGTCAATTTGCTTGCTGATTATTGTTGGACATTGTTAACAGATACTTCAGGAGCAACATATCGCCGTAAAACATCGACAACATTCTGAGATTAATGTTTATTCGAGCGCTTATTACTGTTACACATATATCCTTATATTTCACGAATATAAGCAGCAAATAGAATGCCTTATAGCAAGAATACCGTGGGTGATAGAAAAAATCGAATGCTATTTCCGGCTTTTTGGGTACGTTTTACATAATAACCACCTTGTTTTGTCCATGTCACAAAAAATTATTTTAATTTTTTTCAAACGTGTGATCAATGGTAGAATTCATATTTTGCAAATTTCTGCTATTAGTAGTAAAACTAAACATCAAATTTGTCATATCTCATTTTTGATACTGTGCACTCATGAATCATAAATGTTGCTCATCATTGGAAAAACGGATTCCAAATATCTTGGAATAACATGACTTACCTAACATCAGTAGTAGGCCAACGAAACATTGGCACCCGATTTCCCTCCTTTATTTTATAGGCACGCTACACCATCTTGTCATCATGAATCGACCTTTACAATACATACAACAGCTACGTGACCCATTTCCAAATTGCTTTCGATCGTATCGGATGACGACCATCGTTAAGGTTTAGGGTGTACCTTTTTTATTTGTGTTTGTCATGCTTTATAGCCCGGGAAATATCTTTAAAGAATCTGCATGTTGACAAATCTAAAATTGCATCAAACATTGTTTCTTTTTGATTAAGGTTATGCCACCTTATCAGAATATTTTTCCAAGCAGATGTTAAGATGCTCGCTCGTCTATTACCGCAGGTAAAGAAGGGATGATCCTAACTAAATGACAGGAAGCATTTTAGCCACTAGTTTTTTCGACGAAGTGGCGCTTCTACTGTTAAATCTGTATTCTTTCGTTCAGGCTTAACTAGAAACGTATAATTTTTTTCCTATTTAGTTCAGAATTAATTGCATTTAATTAAAATTTTCAGGTGAAAGAACACCCAAAACATCAACAAGACTCCTCCACATCGTCACCGCATCACAGCAGTAAACAATGGTCGTCGATGACAAGTACGGGCAGCGATGCGTCTTTCGAGAGTACGGGCGGTGCAAGATCGGCACCACCTGTTGTTGGTTCGTACGAAGGCTTCGGAGAAGAGAGCTGCGGGAAACCGCCATTAGTCAGGACCCAGGCGGTTAATTGGGCCGTAAGGAGAGAGCCGATACGGTAGGATATCTTTCATTTTTTTGTCATCTGGGGTATATTTTATTTTTGCATAAAGCATTTACGCATAGGATTGTGGGCGTATTCCCTCGAGTTAACTACACCAAATCTCTGACTGTCAATACTAGCTAGTCATGTTTCCTGGAGTTGTGCTTCAAATAATTTCGTCAAAGTCAACACATATGTGGCTTAGTTGTTCGTTGGAACAGCTGATAGTGGTTCACGAATAATTGGTCTTTTCAGCAATTGTTTTGCCATTATAACTTGACTTTTTCTATTTTGCATTAGATTGTCTAACGTTATTAACAAGAGGCAAACAATGAGTTATGACGTAATTGAGATAACTAGCTACACAAGTATGGTTGGGTCGCCGTATCCGTATTATTAACTTACTCGTCAGCAACAACAGAGCTTCTGCTTCTGACACGATCCCTCCGATGCGACGCATTGACGACGTGTGCATTAGTGTTTGCTCATGTTCAAAACCTGCTAAGAATGATCGTTATTGAGAACCGTGCGCGTGCTCTATGTTTTTTTAGCGATGATCTTGTTCCAGTACGACGTTGCATTATTTTCTGTAACATACCATGATCCAGATATTCGACTGTTTTAATCATTATTATCGTGATTTTTGATGTCTTTTGATTCTGCGGAGGACTTCTTCGTCTGTAAGTTGTTCTACCCACAAGATCACCAGGATCTTCAATATAGTCACATAAATTGGTATTTGTTCGTTGGCTTAAGATTTATTTAGCATGATTGCTACAATTACATTATTTTAAAAAACTACAACAATTACATAATATTAATAGAAAAATCAAAATTTGCATCTCTAAGAATTTTTACTGTCCATGAAATATTCCTTTAATTTTCTTTTAAAAATCTTTAAATTAGATCATTATTTAGCTTATTAAATTCAAGTAATTCTTTCTGAAATATTGATTTGCTAGTTATATTACTGTTGCAATTTTGTAAATGAAAAATATGTATTTCCTCTCTAAGAACCAAATATGATTTTTTATATTCAACCACTGCAATTCTTGTAACATAGATTTTATTTTTATATGTTTATTTTTATTCAATATTATTCTCATAGCTTCATTTTGCCGGACTTATAATTTTGAGAATGCAGCTTCATTGAACAATTGTTGAATAATGGTACTGCACCGATTAACCATCTCAACTTCCCAAACTACGAGGTGCACTCCAATCTGAGAAAGAACGGCTTTTGTCCGCAGCAGTCTTTCCTGCTCCAGGGATCTTTCTTTGGAATCAGACCGGAAGGACATTCTGTGGCTTCGCCTCAACTCCAAAACATCACCCAAATTTATTTGCTGCCTTTATCGCTCTCCCTCGAACCATAACTGGGATGACCTACTCGAATACCTCGCCATCCAGATCGACCTGAACATCAATCACCCCGCTTCAGAGGTAGTTCTTCTCGGTGATTTCAATGCCCATAATGAGCTTTGGTTGGGCTCAAATAAGACCGATGCAGCAGGTCGTGCAGTCGAAGCATTCGCTCTTGCTCAAGGGCTGACCCAGCTGGTGACGAGCCCTACTTTTTTCCCCCGCGTCTCGTCACACGCCAGTAGCCTGCTGGATCTCTTTCTGACCACGCATCCTGCCCCTTACAGCACTGCTGTCCTGTCCCCTCTGGGTAACTCAGATCACGGTGTTGTGGAGGTTAGGTTTCGGTCAGAAGCCGCTGTGGCAGCAGAAACTCGCACAGGCCGCAAAACTTGGCATTACGGACATGCCGACTGGGAGGGGCTCAGAGACTTCTTCTCTAGCTTTCCTTGGAGAGATGTATGTTTCACTGACGCGGATGCGTCGACTGTCTGTTCTTCAATAACCGAAATTATCCACGTCGGAATGGAGGAATACATCCCTCACATAGTGAAAGTTCCTAAACCAGGGTCCAACGGCTGGTTAAACAAATCGTGTGACACTGCTCGCCAGCAGAAGATCAAGGCCCACAGAACCTACTTACAAAACCCCACTGTAGAGAACAGACAAGCCGACGTCGAGTCCAGAAACAAATATAACGAAGCGGTTCGCAATGCCAAAAACCTAGCATGATATAAAAGTTAGGCACAGGGTAATGTCGCAGCGCAATGGCAGTCGGTCTTTCTGGACGCTGCTGGCCAAGCAGATTGAAAAGAACTTCTCACACAGTAGCCTTCCACCACTTACGTGTCAGGATGGAACTATTGTATTCGACTCAAAAGGCCAAGGCGGAAGTGCTAGCCAAGATCTTTGCCGCCAACTCCACCAACGCCCAAGTGCCGTCAATCCAAAGGGTTCCCCACACTGCGGGAGGTAACATTCAGGCATAAGACCGTAAGAGGAGTGCTCTTGTCGCTCGACATCAACAAAGCTTCTGTTCCGGACTTGATTCCTGCCATTGTACTGAAGAGATGTGCAGCGGAGGTTGCTCCAGTTCTTTCGCGTCTCTTCCAGATATCTTATGAATCCGGCACCTTCCCAGAAAACTGGAAATTTGCTCATGTACAACCCATCCCAAAAAAAGGATCTAAGACCGACCCTTACAACTACAGGCCTATAGCTCTGCGTTCTGTTATAAGTAAAGTGATGGAGAGGTGCATAAATCGCGAGCTTCTGGACTACCTCGAACGTCATAGCTTGATTAGCGACAGGCAGTACGGTTTCCGGCACCAACGATCCACAGGGGACCTCCTAGCTTACGTCACGCAATTGTGAAGTAAACTCATCCAGTCTTATGGTGAGGCTCATGTCGTTGCTCTTGACATCACGAAAGCGTTCGATCAGCTGTGGCACGCTGCCCTCTTAAGCAAACTTCCATCCTACGGCCTCCCAGAAAAGCTTTGCAGATGGGTGGCTGACTTTATCTCTGGCCGCAAGATATCCGTCGTCATGGACGGATTCTCCTCTTCATCCCACAACGTCAACGCGGGTGTTCCCCAGGGATCGGTCTTGGCTCCAACACTGTTTCTCTTACATATCAACGACCTCCTTTCCTGCACGATCAACCCAATCCACAGCTTCGCTGATGACAGCACTCTACATGCAGGAATTCAGAGTGACAAGCCGATCTCTGCCGCTGAGCTGGAAAAAAGAAGACTAGCGACGACTTCTTCTCTGACAAGAGACCTGGAGGCTATCACTGCTTGGGGACGCAACAATCTTGTACAGTTCAATGCTTCCAAAACACAGTACTGTACTTTGACGAACAAAAAGCGTCCTAGCGCTCATACAGTTTCGATGGATGGTCGAATTCTACCAAAGAGCCATTCATTTCGGCTGGTCGGAGTCCAGATCACCGAGGACCTGATCTGGCACGAACACATCTCTTCAATAGCTGCAGCTGCTGGGAAAAAGCTAGGCTATTTGTTTAGGGCTAAGAAGTACTTTTCTCCGCATGACCTTCTCACTCTATACAAGGCCCAGATAAGGCCTAGCCTGGAGTATTGCTCACACATTTGGGGTGCTGCCGCCCTGACTACATTGTCCATGCTCGATGCTGTCCAGAGGAGGGCGGTCCGACTGATCGATGACTCTTCTCTAACAGACAGTCTCGGGACTCTTTCGCAACGGCGGGTCGTCGGCGATCTAGCTCTTTTATATCGCTACACCAACGGGCTTTGCTCCTCAGAGCTCTCTTCCATGATGCCGCCGCGCGATGTGCCTTCCAGACAGACCCGCCTGACTTCGGCGTCCCATCCTAACCGTGTCAAACTTCGTACATCCAGAACTGGCCGATACGACCGCTCCTTTGTCCCGAGGGTGTCTAGATTGTGGAACAATCTACGGGAGGAAGCTTTTCCCAGTTCTACTAACCTTAGGCAGTTCAAAAGTCGTATTAACAAAATTTCTTTGGGATCATCATAGCAGCCGCGGTGTTCCGGCATTTAGGCTTCTGCCTGCGCGGCTGTTTCGATATAAAAAAAAAAACTATAAACTATTTTTTGCAATATGTACAAAAACTATTAAAAATTAATTTGTTTTTTTAGTAATTTTTGAAATAATGTATTCATAGTGATCCTCAAACTTAAGCTTACTATCAATATGCCTAAATATTTAACTGATTCAACATTTTCAATTATTTCATGATTTATCCTGACTGTGATAGTAGTATCTATTATTATTTGGGTATTTCCCTATTAGCATACATTTTGTTTTAGAAGCATTCAGTTTTAGTTTATTTACTTTTAACCAACTGAAGATTTTTGCCAAGTCAGTATTTAGCATTTATAAAGCAGACTCTATATTTTCATCTTATATGTATACGAGGGCGGTTCAATAAGTACCCATGTTTGACGACAGATGGCGTTCCTGAGGGTAGTTAATGTTATCATCGTGTGCTGCCATCTATCAAACGACAGCACAACAAATTTCAGACTGATTGATAGGTTAGTTTGGATTTGGCAGCCATTCGGGTAACACGTGTTTCGTGATTTTCGCTAAGATGTAAAAAGAGCAGTATCGTTCGGTAATTCGCTTTTTGTTTTTGGATGGGAAAAAAATGCGAGGAGACAAAAGCAAAGTTGGATGCTGTATATGGGGACACTTCGCCAACTATGATGACCGTTAGATATTGGTTCAACAGTTTTAAACGTTGGCGAACATCCCTTTTTGATGAGGATCGTCCAGGACGCCCGGCAGACATGGCTACTGAGGAAATCATTAAAAAAGCCCACGACATGATTCTCGCTGATCGACGAACGAAAGTGCGCGAAGTAGCAGAGGCCATAGGTGTATCGACCGGAACGGCAATCAATATTTTACGTGATAAGTCTACAAGCGGATGCGGCTGTTAACTTCAAAGCAGTGTTTGGAGTAATTTAAGCGAAATCCGAAGGAGTTTTTGCGTCGAGTTGTCACCGTCGATGAAACCCGGATTCATCATTACACACCAGAAATTAAGCAATAATCAAAACAATGTATTTCTCACGGTAAATCTGCTCCAAAGAAGGCAAAGATGGTCCCATCGACCGGAAAGGTCATGGCGACGATTTTTTGGGAAGCGAACGGCGACATCCTCGTGGATTTCTTAAAGGAAGAACGATCACTGGACAATACTATAGTGAGTTATGGGACCGCTTCGACAAGTAATTGAATTAGACACGACCACATTTGACGAAAAAAAAGGTGCTGCTTCACCGCCAAACTGCATGAATTGCGTTATGAAGTGCAGCCGCACCCCCCGTATTTCCCACGATAAATTCGATGGTCTGTTCGAAAAATAATATCTTCAGACTTTTTTAATATCTTGCAGAACATTTATTGGCCGCCTATTGGTGTACACCTCAGAATTCTTAACTTTCGAAGTAGGAGTTATGTTGGAACACTTCAGTTTTGTTGGAAATTCGCCATATTGTGTACAGTAATTTATCAGGATTAATATTCTGACTCCAATAATATCAAAACATTCATTGAGCACGAGAGCTCCCTTGTTCCTAAGACATAGACAATATGGAACAATCTGCTACAGTTCTACTAACCTTACCCTATTTAAAACTTATTTTTTCTATAGCAGACGCAGCACCAAAATATTTATCTATTGCTTTCGAGGCTGCTTCAGTTAAAAAAACCGAACAAATTTCAGGTGTCAGACCATCATTACTTGTTATAAATATACCGAAGTGCCCAATCAATCTTGTACATCGTAACTTCATAATACTTTTTTCAGGCACGCTTCCGATGGCGCCTCCCAGCAACGCTCCATCGGAATGTCAAGTTCCAGCGCCGCTTCTAGACGAACATGGCGGGACAGGCCGGCAACAGGGGAGGCTCGGTCACCGGACGGGGTGTATCCGTACGACCCCGCCCCCGACAAACTGGAGCAGATTCTGGGCAGGCCAGAGAAGCCTGCGAGGACTGGCGCACGCAAAGCGAATAGGAGTCATGTGCGCAGTTTGGGGGAGGAGACTGACGGCGCGGCTGGCTTAGGGGGTCTCGCAGGAGAAAAAGGAGTGTTGGGGACCATCGACGAGGCTAGGGTATGTTATGTCATATTTACTCTAGTTGGTTTATTTGCGTTCAGATCATTATATAGCAGTGAAATACTTATATGAACCTTACGTCTTACAAACGACAGGTCAAACCTGTCCTTTCTTTTACCAGGGGCGTGTTACCGGGCAACGACATGGTTTCTACGGACTGCTCGTCGGAGTGAATTTGGTATAGTTACTGTTCCTTTGACTTTAAACGTATTTAATCATGAACGACGCACGCTTACAGCATTGATGTTGATGGATCGGGACACACCATTAACGCGTGTTCGATCGAACGGGCGCTTGTCATCAATTTTGGTGACGCTTGTGTCATGTAAAATGCTCGTCAGGCATTGCACGTGATCAATGCATGGCATACGATACACACGAACGTGTTCAACTCGCGATAAATCAAGTATTTTTCTGTTGATTATTCATCACGGTGCATTAAATGAGTTTTTTGATATTCGGAAGCAATTAAATGACTTCTCAGGGTTTTCTCATATGTATGGATATAGTATGTAAAACTAACCATATCAATGTATTTTACTATTTAGTGGTTGTACTGTCGTCCAACGTTTCGCGAATTTGTACTTGTGTAGATCATGAAGCGTCGTGTAGTGTTACATGATGCAACGCCTGAAATTGTTTTTTTTATCTGGAAATATACGTGGAATTGACTGTAATCATTCATTTTCAGAAGGTTATCCATATCACAAAATAACATTATTTTTATTTGTGTCATCGTCACAGCTGATTGTAATTTTGGGCGGTGTAATAGCTGACATTACTACTAACCAGTCGCCGTAACCTGTGCGTAAACCACCGATCGTGGAGATGCCGCACAGCAGATCCTGTTTGGATGGGGCCATAATCTATGCATGAGAGAGAGAATTTCTTGTTTGCCACCATCCAGTTATCTGAACGACTCGAATAAACCGGTCACTAAAAACTTATTTCATTAGTATCTCAATAGAAATTTGAAATTTTGCAGGCCCATCCCGACTTCACGAGGACCCCCAAAGATTCCCTCTCACTGATAGATACGAGTAGTACAAAGCAATCTACCCCGAAGAGGCATAGGCAGAATTTACCCCAATTAGATTTAAGGAGAAGGAATAGCGATCCCGCAACGAAGCCTGTGTCGGACGATGTTAGTCCTGCTATTAAAGGAAACGATTACAAGTGGCATGATGTGAATACTTTATCAATGGCTGGTCATATGTTCAGGTAAATTTTTATGATATAATGGTACTATTGTGCAGAACTTTAGGTTCTAACCCATATGTCTATTCTAAGTTTTAAAGATTATAATTAGAGCTGTTTCGATTAAAATCAATGCTATGGTTAGAGGGTCGATATTCAGTGCTGTGAATAAAATACATTCACCGCTAGTGCTCTTCACCGCGAAAAGTGTGATTTATAAGTTGGCATTTAAGTGGTATCTGGGGTTGCAACACTTGCTTAGCAACAAATAAATACGAACAATTCTCGTCAGAAATGAGCATATTGCCAATCTATAGAGGGGCGCTGAAGCTCTCCACCATAGGGCGTAAAAAACAATGGGCTAAAAAGTGGCTCAACTCCCAGAAGGCCTATTTAGAACGTACTTTCTGTGGCCGAGTATTATTTTCTATAACATGTATTTATAAGAGAACGCGGCAATCTTCCCGCAAGGGCAATAAGCTTGCTTCAGAACTGTAAAAGGACATGAAGTGCACTCCAGTGAGTGATATATATCTGATACTAAATTTTACCGCCGAAGACTATAACTCATAAGAGAACGCAGCAATTTCCCCGCTAGGGTGACATGCGTTTTTTTTCGGACTAATCATAACTGCAAAAAGACATGCAGTGAACATTAGCGAGTGATCTGTATCTAATACTAAATTAATAGCTTATGTTATCATTTAAGATTATCGTGGTCCTATCGTCAAGTCAGAATGCAAGATATTTTAACATATTCACTAGCCCATTATTAGACACCTAATCTATTTTCCAACCTTTCTGTTGAATCTAACGCTGAACTCGTGGATCACTTTCTTGATGGCAGGGAGATTGATGAATCACTTCATAGGGATATGTATGTTATGTCGAAGGATTGCATTATTGCTGTTGCTCGCTGGGTCCCATAACTGGATGCGATCGTCCAAATTGGTTTCTTCAGTGAGTTTAGATTTTCTACCAATAATTGAATACATCTCTCCGAGTTTGATGCCTGTTCGTTTCCTTTTTGAGAAAATGTGCATTTGCCATGTAAGCCTTCTGTCTAAATGATTTGACTGTGGAATTTGTAAATTATTGATAGTTACTGGCTTTTTCTATATAAAGTGAATGTCACATGAGTTTACTTAGTTTCATTAACCTTTATGGGCCATTTCTTTAGCCAGTCCTCTATTTGGAGGAGTTTTAACATAAGCTTATTTGGAGGAGTTTTAACATAAGCTATCTTAAAACACTCTTCTTCTGTTATTGACAGTAACTGTGGAAATCTGTAAAAATTGCTTGTAAACATTTTGAGATTCCAGGAATACCACTTACCAATGTATGTGGTGATAGTATCCCGATGATGATGAATCTTCGCCGCCGCCTTGTAAGCCTTGTGAGAAATATTCAAGATCATCCATCACATTGATCAATTTTGTCTTTTATTGACTTGTCGACCGCTCGTTGTCCACGTCTCCCTTTACATGTCGTCACGCCCCCACTTTGACCTCCAAAGTATGATGTCATACTGGAATGGCGATCGGTGAATGCTGACTGAATTTTGGTGTACCAGTTAGCGACCTTCAAATATTAGAAGTCAGTAAAAGTATACGAACTGTGACGCTTTATCTACAGGAAAAATCCACGTATCTCGAAGGATGATCTCTGCCAATTCTGCAAGGTAAAACTGGACGCATTCAAGGCGCCTGGATACAAGTGCACCGGATGCAAATGGCACTTCCACACCACCTGCATCCAGAACAAGGGCGTGCTGCAGGTGCCCTGTCCGGTTGCGGTGCAGGACGTAAGGGTGGGCGATCATCACGGAAGGGCGACTGTGGTGTCGGTGGCCGGCAGGCGGAAACAACGGAAACACAGCCGTGCGCACCAATACGACCCCAGGAAGGTGGAGGATGCTGCGGGAGGCAAATTCAGCTTGACCGGCACTAGCGAGTTCACTGATCGGACTGATCAGATCATTACAGGTATAGTCCAAGTAATCAACACATATGCGTTCTACATTGAGAGTATGTTTATAAAAAAATCGTGAAGATACTGAATGATGCCAAAAGTCCATCAAATTCTATTGCATTATCTTCCCAAGGGAGCAATGCACGCCACGCCAATATGTAGACCCTAGATGTTAGAACATTTGCAGACACTAAACTACTAAAACTATAACGGGCGGTTTACATCCTGCTAGTAAAGCTTTTCAGTTTTTGGATGCCAGCAACTGGCATCATGCAAGCTCTGTATGGCATTATGGACCATATTGTATCATCAGTAACCATTGTTGGGGATTCTTGCTTTCATAAAATAAAAAATGTTAAGGGTTGATTTTGTGAATGATTGTTTAGGTGAAGCAGAATGCCCCAAATCCATCAAATTAATATTATCACCAAGTATAAATATCTTATCTGAAAAGGTGTGAGCTCTTGCTTTTTAAGTGCAGTTCTTTATACCGGGTGGTCCAGAGAGTCGTGCCAGTATTTCTATGCTAGAAAGTACCTAAAAAAAAACAAAGTTCTTATAAATAAGATGATGGTCCCCTACTGAGATACGAGGTGATGAAGTTTTATTTACGTAATAAAAAAATATATCTGCGGAGAGGGTAAAGATACTGAGCTGGATTAAGTGAGCACATCACCTGCAATAAACACCCATAACTTCTTGGTCCAAACTAAATCAGGGACGTAGAAACTGGGGTACCTTTACCCCTAATAGGAAATATTTTGTACGCCAACTGCCTTTTCGAAGAAAAGAAGTGCATTTTATAAAATACCTTTTTCCATAAATTTTCTCTCTTAAAGAATGTTCGTCAGATCACTTGCTTTGGAGATATTTAAGTTTGAATATTTGAGGTGGAATCCTAAAATATTCTCATAAAAAGGTTTAGCTTCCCCTATTCTGAAAACATCGTGAAGCTTGATCTGTCTGCCAAAATAGGCAGGAGAACTTCAGTGCGAACGCCACTGGTGGAGATTAAAAAAAATGTGGTACATTAGAAAATGTTCCCTATATTACAAGCACGCCAAATTTGATTAAAATATCTGAAAAGGTAGTACAGATATCGATGATAAAATATTTGATTTTGAATACTTTACCTGCCTGTAACTCAAAAGTTAAGACTTTTAGGACAATGTTCATGTTTTCTGCTTAAAATGGATCCAAAAGTTGCCTGCCTAAGTATTGACATTCAATTAGGAAATACCCTGGTTTCCCATATAGTAAACTAAAACTAAAACGAGTGTTGCTACGGCTGTTTCTGCAACTGTAATTAAAAACGTTATTACCCTGCGACACACAGACTCCTCTTCCTAGCCACCAGGTTTCTTGCAAGAGTGATTTGAAAGGTCATGCTTTGTAACCCTATTTGACCTTTCCTGGTGATGCAGTTCTTAAGGTCAAAGTCTATTCACACAGTCTGCAGACAATGAATGCCCTGCAGCAAAACATATCCATAGTTATTGGTGAAATCAATTTTCCTATTTTTTGTTGTATATAGACAGTGTGTTAATAAAGTATGTAGACAAACTTCAACCGACGAATCCTTGGTCAATTTGAAGACGAAATTTCCATATGAACATGGGTCCGCAACAGCTTTGTTTTCAAGCTAGAGCATATTTAAAAAATTATAACAGAATGGAATGTATTTTATTTTAATTAAGTATGCCCTGTGGTGAATATCACATCATTTACAGCTGTTTTCAGACCATCCATTAACGTAGATACGGATAATGTTATCCAGTATTTTTTGAAAAAATAGCATGACATTGATTTGTTTTAATCGCAATACTTTTAATATTAGTCATGTCTGATTATACAAAATACCCCGGGTATTTTCAGGAGAGTTCGTCAGTCAATGTGTAATAGACTAGACGCCTGTATTGAAGTCGAAGGTGGCCACTTTCTAAAAAAAACCTAATCGATATTTTCAATTGTTGACTGACCTTCTAAATATTTTTTTCCAAAAATACAGGATAATATTATTTTCATCCACGTTCATATTGAGCCTCAGCAACTTGTAAAACATGTAAAATTTATCATAGGTTATACCAACTATTCGATAAATACGTTTCATTATTCATAGAAATATTTGTAACATTACTCGTATTTCTTTAGTGATAGTTCTCTTGCTCGAAAAGAAAGCTGTTACGCACCCATGTTGATATGAACATTTAGTCTTCAAATTGACCAAGTATTCGATGGTTAAAGCTGCTTTTGACAAATAACGTGCATCCAATGACGTAATTTTCTTTATTGACTCAAAAGATGTAGCAGTCTTAATGTTTACTAGCAGGTGTTTGAGTATTAGACTTCAGTAATAAGTTTAAGACTCTTTATGATCCCTTGGTCAAGTGGTTGACAAGCTGATGCACAATTACTGCGCAAAAATAAGATTTTTATATTATTTAAGCAAATGTCTTTTGGATGAGATTCCGCATTGTCTAAAAATAAAAAAATGTTTCTTTTTTTTCATTAGCCATCTTTCAATCTGGGTCTTGCAACCACGGTGTCATAATTTGGAGCCATTTCTACAATTAATGTGTCGCCAACTGTGTCTTTTCCACATAGACTCAGACTAATACTGAATGGAAACTTAAGCGAAAGTGTGTACCCAAAGAATAAGAACGGTAAATCTCCGACTAACTCGAGGAAGTCACTAATTCATGCCGGGCAGAAATACACCACATCGGCCGCTTTTATACTGGAAGATTGTCGGTGAATCCCCTGTTTGCTCGAGAAAGTCGCAGCGAAGATGGCACGCGGCACGATTGAAAAATGCAATAGCGATTCTCTCAACAGAATATAATCTAGTTAAGGCCTTTCTTTTTATTTTATTTATGGTCCGGTTAGGAGAACATTTTCTCGTATCCGCGTTCGTTCAAGAGAATGTCCGTCGAACAGAGAGTTAATACAATGCAAATTAAATGAGAGCCGGTCGGGACCACGAGAAACTGTCCGTTTAAAGGTGTCCGTGTAAGAGGTGTGTCCGTGATGGGGAATTTCTCTGTTTATTTCCTTTTTGGTAATATAAATGAAAATGTTATTATTTTACAATTGTTCGTTTTATTTAACAGTATACGTCATAAGGGCATACTGTGTATGCCAAGTTCTATCCAGCTACATATAATTAGATATCACCATGGAAGTCGACAACCTCTGGTGTGAATGCAATATGTTATATCGATGTCATGGTTGATTTTGTTTTTAGGTGCTGATGAACTCACCCTTATGCAGCAGTTCATAACTGATAAAATAATGAAGATGGAAGGCGGAAAAAGTAGTGAAGTAGATAAATTATTCAAACAAGCTCTGAGGGAGTTTAAGGACAACTTAGTGCAGATGTACAGTAATGCAACGAAGCATAATAGTTTGGAATCGTGCAATATTAAATACAAGGATCTAATTGTGGTCTTTATACAGGTAAGCATATACAGAACTTGTATCTCTTACAGGGTGGTCTAAAAGTTTAATTATTAAAATTATCATAACTTTGTAACACAAGGTGATTTTGTGATATTGACATGAAGATTGGGAGTCAGGATTCTAAGGATTGGGAAAACGTTAATTCCCTATTTTTCAAAATTGCTATATATAAGGTGCTAATTATAGCTATAATCACACTACTTCATGCCATAACTTTTTTGCTGTTACCGTTCAAATAGGTTTTTGATGAAAATAATGACAGATGATTGGCTTACAGACAGATCATTGAAAGTGGAATATGCTATTTATGAGAAATAAACGTCATAAGAATATTTTGTAACGCCAATATACCCGAGGTATTGTTAGGCATCCGCGGCTACATTCATTTCTCCAACTCATATGTGTATTTCACTCTTGTCCTGATCTTTTTTGGACCGCGCCGTAGAATACTGAAATGCAAATATCTCTAAAACGGTTTGTTTAATCGAATTCAATGTATCTTTTTTACTGAAGAGTCATCAATCTATCATAATATTCGATAAAAAATAATGGAAGAACGTTATTGCATGACATAGCTAGGTTATAGGTTCAGAAACCTCAGGTTCTTGGTTTTCATATCGATTTCATAAAAACAGGAGGAGATATAAATACAAAATGATTCAGTGAATTACAGTTTGCAACGATGTATCTGATTGACAATATTTAATAAGGTAAAAATGGCTCATTATGTATCTTTTGAATAGTTAAATCTGTATTGAGCGAAGCTAATTTCCTTTTTGAGGTATTTTATCCATAAAACTTTAATACATTTTCAGGCCATGGAAACGGTGTGCCAAAGAGAACAAAAATCGAACGAAATGAAAGACTTTCCAGTAACTATGGGCGTGAACGCGTTTCGTGGTTTTATGAATGAGTTCATGTCCAGTAGAGCAGAGGAAAAACCATCGAAATCGAAAAGAAAGAAAGAGAAGAAACGAAAAGTTGAGATGCACAAGCATAACGGCCACACCTTCCTTCTCACGATTATCAACATACCCACTGCATGTGAGATTTGTAGTTCGTTTTTTATGTGGCCCATCGAAAGGGGTTTGGTAAGCGAATCTATAATATCATCAATTAAGGCGGCACTGCTATCATTTGATTTGTCAACACCCCATCCCATGCGGGTGGCGCCTCATCGTGTTATGACCAGAAAACACTTCCACAAACAACCTGAGGTTGGCTCTATCCAAAGATAAGCAAAAGCGTCCATCCTTAACACTGGGCCCTACGATGAGCTCCCGTGACTGAGGGAGAGGTCTAGATGTATTGTCTAGCAATCCACTTTACAATTTTTCTTCAGATTCTGTGTGGGCACCCCTAGGGCTGGCTCAGGACCAACAAGCTTGCTCGCTGATCCTGCTTTCGCAAGAGCGTCCGCCATATCATTGCCCTTTACTCCAGCGCGCCTCGGTTCCCACGCGAACGATACCGGATGCCTAGAGGTAGCGTTTCCAGAGCCTCCCTGCATTGCAGTACAAGGCTCGAAGTAATCTTCCAGGCACTTAATGCCTTCATTGCAGTCTGGCTGTCGGAGAAGATTTTTATTCTTCTCCTAGGCCCTTCCAAAATGCGGGATACGCAAGCCAGAAACGCATATATTTTCGCCTGTAAAATAGTGGCGTATCCGCCGAGAGGCAGAGGTAGCCTAGTCCTAGGCCCAAACCCTCCTGCGCCAGAGCCCTCTTCCGTAACCGTAACCGACATGTCCGCGTACCTTCCGGTTTCCAGAGTTTCACTCCACCTTCGATGGATACTCCACATTAAACCTTGCGGTTGAAGCGATGTTTAGGGGTGATCAAATCACCCCTGCCCAGAAGGACAGCAGTTCTTCTAAGTCGCTGCCCTGCCTCGACAGTCGATGTGCGACTACTCTCGCCTCTCCCCGCATCATTATATCCAGCGGTAGGGAATCCAGCAGCGCTTCCATTGTACCCAATGGGGTTGTCCGCACTGCGTACTGGTACAAGGCGAATGCTGAATCTTATTGAGTTTGGCCTTATTTGTCTCGGTTTCAATGCAAGAGCACCAAACCAGAGAGCCGTACAAAAGAGATGGACGTACTATCGTCGTATAGAGCCAGTGCTCTTTAGCTTTTACATGTCCGCAAGCCCACAATGAATTACGAGCGTTGTTAGCCTTGTACTCAACATGCTCTCTCCAATCCAGTCTACAGTCCAAGATAATTCCTAGATGCAGAATATTTTCGACATTACTGAAAAATTATTCAAATCAGATTGCTGACTTCGGCAAAAATATGCGGTTCCCTTGATAATTTCTTTGATGATGGGTTAATATCTTGAGAAACATATCAGGAAGGTTTGGAAAAGACATATGAGACTAGAATTTGCACAACACATATCATCACAATACTCGGTGCATCCCTGATAAATAGGCACCATATTGGATACGGTGTGCATATTGCACGTTACCTAGAAATTCATAATAAAAAGTACATAACCTTAAACTAGAAATCAAGAATTCTTCGTATTTGTCCACAGGTATGCCAAAGCTGCAAGATGACCTGCCATAAAAAGTGTTACACGAACGCCAGCCAGTGCCAGAAAGAGTCGGGGTTGCAAGGGGAAACAAAAAAGGTGTTCGGTGCATCCTTAGTTACTCTGCTTACAGAAGATAACAAAATACCACCGGTGATAGAGCGATTGCTCAGCACGATAGAATTGTATGGACTGTATACGGAAGGGATATATCGAAAGTCTGGCGTTAGTTCGAAGATCAAGGAGCTGAAGCATAAGATGGATGAGAACCCTGACGAGGTCGAGTTCGAAAAGTATCAGGTTAGTATGTTTTGGTAGAAAATCAAACTTCACTACTACAAGCATAACACGATATGAAATTTGACATGAAACATTTTTTACGTCAACTGACAACCTGGCAAAAGCATGTGAGATTTTATAAAATAGCACCGTGATCAGCTGAGCTTAAGTCAAGTTTGACAACATTTCACAACAGACAATCTGATTTCTTAGAAACTAATGCACAAAGCAGTAGCTTAACAAACATTTTCGGTATTCAAGACTGATAATGCGAAAGTGTATGACACGATTTGGCGACGTCCGAAGTAAGGAGTATTTTTTTTTATTTCGAAGCAGCCGCGCAGGCAGAAGCCTAAATGCCGGAACACCGCGGCTGCTATGATGATCCCAAAGAAATTTTGTTAATACGATTTTTGAACTGCCTAAGGTTAGTAGAACTGGGAAAAGCTTCCTCTTGTAGATTGTTCCACAATTTCGACACCCTCGGGACAAAGGAGCGGTCGTATCGGCCTGTTCTGGATGTACTAAGTTTTACACGGTTAGGATGGGACGCCATAGTCAGGCGGGTCTGTCTGGCAGGCACATCGCGCGGCGGCATCATGGAAGAGAGCTCTGAGGAGCAAAGCCCGTTGGTGTAGCGATAGAAAAGAGCCAGATCGCCGACGGCCCGCCGGTGTGAAAGAGTCCCGAGACTGCGATTTATGCACCTCTCCATCACCTTACTTATAACAGAAACCAGAGCTGTATGCCTGTAGTTGTAAGGGTCGGTCTTAGATCCCTTTTTTGGGTTGGGTTGTACATGAGCAAATTTCCAGTTTTATGGGAAGGTGCCGGATTCATAAGCTATGATAAAAGAGAGACTGTGATAGCTGTTGCCCGCTGCCGGGGCTGTGTTGCCAAGTGTGGCGATATTTCACCCAAGTGGCGAATTCACAGCTTCAACTGGCGATCAAAAATCATAACGTGGCGATTGACGAGTTTGGTTGCTATCACTGTACAGATATTTGGCTATTTTTGGCATTTCTGTCGCAGTATCTTGCGTATTTAATTTCTTCCACTCTGTACTCGTAGTTCAAACTCTTAACACACAATAGAAAACAATCAGATTTCTCATTATCCGGTGCCACCATTGACGTTTCTAACCGTTCGATTGTTCGGCTGAATTTGAACCGTTTTTCTTGGTGGATTGAACTTCGCACTTCAGCCCAGGTTTTTAATACCTTCTCTTGTTCCATTAGAGATACTACAGAATCTATATTTAGTCGGTTGCGGTTTTCTGTGTTTCATTTTTTAAGACCACTAAATTTTCGCTCGATAGAATCAGCAAAGATATTGGAATGTTTATATTCGGGAACAAGTAGTGGTGGCTTAATGCCAATCCCCAATAAAGCTCTACTCGACTTGAGATTCCCTGCAATTTGGGGAATTGCGCAAATAGAACCCTGCTCATTTCCTCATTTCTCTTTTTAATATTTCACGTGTCAGTATGCTCTTACTAATGGTGGAGATTGGATGCATGCATCAAACTTCAATCTGATTATTTACGTCCTTAAGCCGCGTATACATATGCGAGCCGAGCCGCTCGTGGGCCGCTCAAAAACTGTTCGTTGAATTTTTACAACGAACGTCCAGCGATCCATGGAATAAAGCCGAACCAGCCTCAAACCACCACCGAATGCCGGTCTGTGTACTTCAGTTTGAATCATGTCTTCGCGCGAGGAAATTTACTCGATCATGGTAATGAGTGGTGCGGCTTTAGTAATTGGTAGTTTGTGCAAGAAAAAGAGGAAACAAAGGCGTTGGTGGCATAGTGATCTATATAAGAAACGTAGTGGTATGGAACTTATGATGGTCTTGAAATCACAAGAAATGCGCGAATGTCGCCTACTTATTTTAAAAATCTCTTGTTGAATACTGGCCCCCAAATTTCGAAAGATGAAACATTTTCGCACCCCCATTTCCGCTCAAGACAGGTAAGCAGTCAGACTGCGTGTGATAGTATATTTCGCCACCTGATGCAAAAACAAGACAACCAGTTTTCTACTTTTTGAGTTGAGTACATTTCCACACTTATTGCTATATTTTAGTATGTTCTGTGGAAACAGAAAAACCGACAGAACAGGGTTCGCAACGACCGGTGCAGGAGCGGTTCGTGAGCGCTCAGTCTGGTGCTATAAATCCCGTCCCAAGCATACCAACTAGCAGTTCGCATGCGGCTCGCGGATGGCCCGGATCGCATATGTATATGCGGCTTTAGACTGACAAGCAATTTAAGTGATTTCGAGATTGCACAATATCACTTACATAGATCACCCTACTTATTTGTATATGGATAATTTGCTCTTTACAGTATATTCAGATAAGAGATAGACCGGACATAAACAAGACCACGTGATCATCGAACGCTGTAACATTCGGCAGGGACGTATTAAGAGTCACGCAGTACATATTTTAGATAGTAGATGCTGCTTTGCGTAACTTTGTAGTAAATTAGCACAATTCGATGTGTATACGATTGGTGATGGATATAGGATCATGTGGGGGTGGGGTAAGAAATATATAATGATGTAAATATACATAAGGGTTTCAAAATTTTCGCTTCGATTTCCAGCTTCGGATGCCGTCTGATGTTTGGTGAACTACAGTCGAATATAATCTCAAAATGGCGTTTAAATTAGCCTAAATTAAAAATAATCGTATATCTCTTAAAATTGCTTTTAGAATATTGATTAGTATATTTTTTGATTTCTAGGTAAATATGTAACCAAATTAAAACGTTCAAAACGTAAAAAAATGTGCATGGTTGAACATTGTCAGAAAGTAGATTCTTGAATAGGTTTTGCCAAAATGGGTTCAAAAATGTCAATAATTAATTAAAAAATACAGTAGCTTTATAATTACTTATAACTTACCGAATTTGATGAACGACATCTTTTATTGGAAAGATGAGCTTGATGAGCTTTCATCATCGCTACTGCCTGAAGCACCAACGTCAATAATGAATGGCTCGACTTGTTCCTCTAAAATATTGTCCAGTTCCCACATTCTCTTTTCAACTTTGTCTTTCACGTGCTTAATACAGTTTTCCCATTTTTGCGCTGTTATTAATTCTAGTGCTTCTTTGAAAAGTCCTTTGAGGTCACAAAATTTAAAAGTTGTATTGTGCTTAGCTATATAATGTTTAACCTCTGCCCATATGAGCTCAATGGGATTGAGCTCGCAATGGTATGGAGGTAAACGGAGCACAGTTTTATTTTGACTTGCTGCCATTTCGTCAATGGCGTATTTTTGATATTCCGCCTTGTGATCCTTGACAATTCTTAATAATTGTACTTTCAGCATTGCTTCTTCAAAGTTGATATTTTTCGAGCGGAGCCAATTTTGAACATCAACTTTCCTTGAAGCCGTTGTTGGGACCTTCTCCATTCTTCAAGAATGATAAGGCGCATTATCCAACACAATTACTGCGTTTTCCTCTAAGTTCGGTAAAATTTTTGAAAACCACTGTTCAAACGATTCGCCATTCATTTCCTCGTGGTAATCTCCAGTTTTCTTAGACTCAAAGCACCACAGACCGTCAACAACAAATCCATCCTCACTGCCAATATGGCAGATAATGAGCCTTTTCCCTTTACCTGGAAATCGAAGTACTAACTGGTGTAGATTTATTTCAATAAGCGAACCTTTTTCAAATGTTTTCATCACATTCAGCGAAAAAACATTGAGACATGAGTATCAGATTGCTATAATTGGGATTATTTAGTCATATTGAAAGAAAGAATATTGAACGTCGTATGATTACTCAGTGCTTCACAATTTAATTTAAAGTTATAAACCTCTAAAAAATGAATGATCAGGAACCTGAAATACGCGGAAATATTAATATTAACAAATTATAACTTTATAAAGCTTAAAGTATGAATTAAAATGATTAGAAATATTAGGAACGGTACACAATATAAAACTTAGTAACTTTTTTAAGTTTATAATATTCGACATATTTTAAGATTATATTAAAAAATTATTGAAATATCGAAAACACATAAAAACATGCCTTAAAAAAGTTCTAACAAATGAAAATGACAATAAAACATCCACGCATTTTATCGAAAGTTATAAAAGTTTTGTTACTTGTAATATGTTTTATCTGCCCCCTGGAATTAATGTTTAGAACCTTGTTCCCAAGGTTTGAAAAACATCCGATTGTTGTCTATTACTCGTATTTACCTGCTGGATTTTTTAATCCGGTGGACAGTCCATCTAGAGAGGCCCTCCTGGATGAGGTTACAGAATCATCAACCCATACTTTACTTGTAGTGTGTCCTGCGGTTACCCATGTTTCATCAAGGTAATAAATCTTCCTGTTTTGATTTCTATATTTCCCAATTTTTGTTAAATAATCCCTCCTCCATAGCACAATTTCTTCTCTATCCAGTAGTAAACTATTACGACCCCGTTTTTTCCATTTGAAATTTAAATGCTTCAGTAACGCATGGAAAGTTGATCGTTTGAAATTTGGCAACGTTGTATCTCCATTTACCTATTGCAGTACTTTATCTATAGTAGGTATTTCATTCCTAAAGAAGAAATCGTGCACTTTCCTCCTAATCGCATGCTTATCAGCTTCATCCAATGATTTAAAAATACTTTTGCGATGTTTGCTGGTCATTGGCTCAGAAAAGGTGTGATTTTTTTTGTATTGTCTTAACACATTAAACACTGATGCGCGACACACCCCAACTTTGTGAGAAACCTTCACAATTTCTTTGATGGTTGATGCCTCGTTCTCCTCGCGCTCGATCTTATATATATTCAAAAGGACCTCTTTCATTTCTGCACTCAGGTGTCTTTTTTTAGAGCGTTTCCTAGGTGGACTACAGGAGTTTACAACTTCATCGGCAGTATCTGTACTACTGGGCATTTTGCGCAAGCAGTTGATAACATTAACAATCAATAACAAGGTATAACAATAACAACGACAAACTCAACAACTTAATAAGATAACAAACGAAAACGTCCAAAGAAATATCAAATTGCAATGATGCACACGACATACGTAACACGTCTGACCCTGAATGTGACTCTGCCTTGATGCGACTGCTCTGCCGCTCGGCATAGGCATTTAATTGCGAATTGACCAATGAGGGCTCCTGTTTTACGTCGAGACGGCGGCGTTAGCGTGAAAATCACCCGAACCTTTTGTTTACATCCGGTCTATCTCTTATCTGAATATACTGTAGTAATAAATGCCTATGTCTCATAACAAAAAAAGATATTCTAACAAAAAATAAAATCTTAAAAATTGAAAATTGAAACAAATATTTTGGAAACTCCTAAATTAAAAGAAAAAGATTTCAAATCGTCCTTCACTGTTCGGGCTCAAAAACGTCTCCTGCCTTTGATGAATAGTAGATCAGGCAGTTATAAAACTTCTGACGAACTCTCAAGAGTGTAGGAGACTGTATTTGCTGGAATGCTTTGAGTTTCACCTGTAGGCTATACAAATCCTCTGCTCTTTCACTGAAAGTTTAAACAGCACTTTTCGCATAACCCCACAAGAAAAATCATTGTGCGCCAAATCGGGTTGGTTCCCTTATTGTTTGTCCGGTGATGAGGTAAGGAGGGTGATCCACGAGTCTGTACCTCATGTACGCACAAAAACCAGTACAGGGAATGCGGAGTCAGTGATGTGCGTACGTAATTATGGGCAACCCAAATGTACGTCCCTCGTGTGCCTATCTGTACGCATATGCGCCATAAAATTACATAGACAATGACATAGAATTCATTTTTCAGCTTTATTTTTGGTTCTAGCCCCTTTTCGGTAAAAAATCTGGAATAGCTAAATTATTTTAAAAAATCATGGAAAATGAAGACGTTTTCGGTATTTCGATATATAAGGTCTCATTTTGGTAGGTTCGGTAACGCTGGCGACGACATACACGGCGGGAACGAAACTACCGACTGCGCTGTTGTCAGATTTGTTGCCGTCGATTACGTAGGCTATCGTTCTTGTACTCGCTGTCTCATCTTTGTCTTACTCCATCATTTCCATATGTAAAATAACTATTTTTCTCATAGTGTAATATGTAGCATATAAAGGAGGCCCGATGATACAACCATTATTCTAGTAAACTTCTAACTAAAGTGAAATACAGTACTTTTAATGGTTCCGTGTTTCTAAAAGATCTACAATTTCTAATAATCAATCCAAGCGTGAAATTGACTATTTGATTTAAGTGTGTTGAAAATGGCAGACAACCCATTTGGATGTCATTTTCACTTTACTCCAACAGTTATACTCGTATTCAAACGACAAATAAATTTCAATAGCTCTTTTTTGCGACTTTTCCACAGCTGTTGACTGTATAAATCATGATATACTATTAAAGAAATTAAACAAATATGGTTCTACTGGAACTTCACTCAATTGGCTTAAAACATATTTAAATAATTTAGTCATTTATTCTAACTGCTTGTAAGATTCCTCAAAAGGAGTTGATATTCCAAAAATCACCTATATAAAAGTTGCATAATAAAAAAAATAGTTAAAGATTGAAAATAAAAAAATAAGAATGTTACACAGATTTTTCGATATTCTCGACCACTGCCGTGAAAATCTTTTTGTATGGTTTTCAGTAGGCGCTTTTCATTCGATCAGTTGTATCAGTTTGTTAATAGTGCGTATACGAGCCCAAACAACTAAATATTCGGACACTTTTAAATTTTGTGCAACTTGTTCTATAAAATAACAGAACAAGATAGTAAACTTGTACCGGAAACTTTTATTGATAGATTATACAAAATGTGATCTATTTTCGATAATAATATTTGTTTTTTAACTAATAACTTTGTTACGTCGTCTTTTGCCTTAATTACCGCCTGAATTTTTCCAGGCACGGTCTTAACTAATGCTTGACAGTTTTCTTGTGTAAACGAATTCCAAATTTCTTGCAATTTCACACGCAGTTCAGGGATTGTTCTCTGAGGATGGTTTCTCAAATGTTGTTTCATTTTGTGCCAGACCGTTTATATCACATTTAAATCGGGACTACTAGCGGGCCAAGTACGTCATGATCCCCAAATCATTGTTTTGTGTTTTTGGCATTGTGGCATGATGCGCCGTCCTGCTGATAAATGCAATCTCCGTCAGGATATAAGTCTGCTATGGTAGGCAATAATGTGTACTCAAGGATTTCTTGGTATTTGGCTACATTTACTGTGCCATCTACAAAATGAAGACGTCCCATTCCAACTGCAGACATACAGCCCCACACCATACCTTTGGGAAATTTCACTATACGTTTAATGCAGTCTTTGTGGAAGTTTTCAGTTTTGCTTCTGATGACCCTTTTCCGATGATCGCCTACGCATACGTCAAATTTGGCTTCGTCACTAAATATGATCGTGCTCCAGTTTTCATAAGTCCAAGAGCGCTTTGGTTTTGCCCAAATTAAGCGCCTTTGTTTTAGGACTTCAGTTAGAAGCAGTTTTTCTTTAGCCTAATTAATGAAAAAACATTTAAAATTATTTTGGAATAATAATTTATATATAATAATATATATTATAAAATTTGAGTCCAGATTTAAGAATGTATTTTCGACACCATTCTCGTGAAACCTGCATTCCACACTTTGTGTTCCACTGAGCGGTAACTGCCCTTAAAGTGTTTCGTCTACCTGATTTGCAGATTTTCATCGATTCCGTTCAGTGACAATCCTCGGTCGACCTGGACTTTTACCGCGCACATCAGTACTGGCGGTTTCGCCATACTGTCCGAAACTGTAGACTTAGGGATAACAAGATCACTTGATATTTTGTGTATTGACTTGCCTTTGCAAAACTGCTGAATAATAATTTGCCTCACTTTCTGGTTAGTGGCTACACCTCGCACCATTTTTGCATGAATATAAATTACCAACAAGAAAATACAATTAGTTACTAAATATAATTTCTAACGACGTTGACATAAATGGTATTTTGTCATTGGTATCGCCCTCAATTTTCCTGTTAGTCTCTGCTTAACTCTAATGTTATGCTTCTTGACCTGTCCAAACATTTAGTTGTCACCATATTTCACGATATTTTAGTGATTTTGTTTGTCTTAAAGTAATAAATTTGAAATCAGAGGTGCCGCTATTAAAATATCTGTTTATTTTTATTATGCTTATCTATCAATATAAATTGATTGCCAAACATTTTTAGAAGGCGGCAGTTAATTTATTGGTCCACTTATACAAAAAGTAAAGGTGTTCGAATATTTAGTTGTTTGGGCTCGTACTTTCATTTATCTGATAATTTTGTGCAAAAAAATGGCCCATGTTTACAAAAACAATGAACTAACATACGGAGAGTGCCAACAAAATGCAGCCGCAGAATGCAGGTTGTATGCGGAAACTTTTCCTTTAAGAAATCATCCGGCTCCACGAATGTTTGTAAATTTAGTTATTAGATTTCGTGACACGGTATATTTAAAAAAACAACAAGGAGGTCACGCTGAAAGACCTGTTCAATCTGAAATGTCACAAATTGATGAAGACATTTTAGAAACGGTCGAAGATGGCCCAATAATGAGTACTAGAGCCGTAGCATCTCAAGTTGAAGTTTCTTATAGTAAAGTGTGAAAGACAATGCGACAAGAACAGTATTATCCTTATCATTATCAACGGTTACATGCATTACAACCTGAAGATCATCCCAGAAGAGTCGCATTTTGCCAGTGGCTTTTAGAACAAATCATGTTTGGGAAGTAGATAATCAGAATGCTGTAAAAAGAACTCATTTTCAACATAGGTTTTCACTAAATGTTTGTGAATTTATTCGTGGACACCAGGATTTTATTTTCGAAGCTTGTACAGAGTCGTGGATTCGCCAAGCAGGATTTTGCGTTAATCGAACAAATGGGGACAATTTTCAACCGTTTTTGTAAAAACGGTATCCATTAAGGTTGATAATGATCTTTTTTTAATAATTTTTATTAAAGAAAACTAACTTTCTTAGTATGCAACCTTTATATAGGTAATTTTTGATATATTAACTTCTTTTGGCGGGTTCTACAAGCTGTTAAAATAAATGACTCAACTTTGAAAACACCCTGTATAGACGATTCTGAATATCAATGATTTATTAAACTTGAGCGTAAATGGTAAATTCGTAGCTTTTGCTGAAGATTAATTGCTTACTCAACTAGCAAAGATTTCCTTCGTATAAGAACGATTAGTTACAACGAAGGGAAAAGCAAGCACAGCCATAAGCAGTTGCTTTGACTTATTTGAAAGTAGATTGAGATATAGCATTCCTTTTTGATGTGTTTGTTCCCAAAATTGTTTAAAAATGGTGCATATTCTACAAAAACTAAATGCAATCCTAGAGCTACATGCTGGCTGGCCTTTATTTATAAATCTTAAAATAATGACTTGTATCATTGTTCAGTGCAGAAACAGCAACTCTTATTTTTAAAAATAAATCGATTTTGGAAATATTATATATATATATATATTACTATATATTAGGCGAAAACAAGACCTCAAATTGGTAATAACTAAAACAACGTGAAAGAGTCTAAATTTCTAATGTTCTAAAAATTTACATGTGTCTCCCTGATGCTATCAAATGTTTTAACAATATAAAGATATTCCGCCGTGAACTTGAAAACTTTTTAATATGTAAATTATATTATACCTTGTGTGAGTTCTACAATTCACCTACTTAAGATCCTCTTATGTAATTATATTATAGTTTAGTCTTAAGTTAGCTTTTGTCATTAAGAATTATTGTGCTCTTCAGACAATAAAGCATATTAATCTATCTGTTTTCTATAGGTCCACGTATTGGCCTCTGTCTTGAAAAGCTTCCTGCGCGAGATGCCGGAGCCGTTGTTAACCTTCGAATGCTACGAGAACTTCATAACGGCGGCGAACCTGGCAAACGAGCAGGACCGTGTCACGACGCTGTACGATATCCTGAAGAAGCTGCCACCTCCCAATTATGACCTGATGGAGCGACTGATGTTCCATCTGGCCAGAGTGGCGCTTCACGAGGAGACCAATAGGATGAGTGCATCCTCATTGGCGATCGTCTTCGCGCCGTGCGTGCTCAGGACGAATAAGGTGAGTGACTGGATGCATACCTTCGTCAGAAGAAATCACTAGTAAGGACGTACCCAGGTCAAAACGGAAGAAACCTTATACATTTTTTTTTTGTGGACGTTTGATAGATCACATCTACTCAACTATGCTTGTTATTTTTCTTTCTATTTGCATTTTATCCATTTCTTCCAAGACGATTTGACAATTTATATGGAAAACTACTAGGGTTATTTTTTTGAAACATTCTATCAAATATTGCGTGAGATGCTTTTTTGTCGTTTGCAATAGTCGAAAGCAACATTTCAGATAAGATAATATATAACAAATGTTTTCAATACTGTAAATTTTATATTCTTATTTTTTGGACGTTCATATCCCTCAGAATTTAAACAGGGTGCTAATCGTTTCAGTCAAGTCAGTTGGCCAGGAAGTACAGTAATCGCGAAACACTTCAGATGGAAGAATAATTTTCAGATATAACATAGTAGGTACATTTTTTATGGCGTTCGTCAGGTAATCGTTGGCCCTCTATTACCGACAGAAAAATATTTATAGTTTTTGTTAATCGATCCTGTTGCGATAGAGTAACCATCAAAAAACACTAATTATTGGTCCTTCTATAATTTGGAAAATATCACTCTATTTCGAAGACATTTTGAAAGGTCTGTCTAATGGTACCAATATTAAAACCAAAAAAGCTATAACTCCCCCAAACTTGCGTTTATCTTTTTTTTTTGTTTCTGATGATTTTGAACGCAATCAAAAATTTCCTTAGAGGAATCAAAATTCAGAGAGGTCGAACGTTGCTTATTGATATATTTTAAGATATGATGTAGCCAGGAGTTTATTCGATGGCAAGATTGTGAAATCCGGCAAAACCTGTTTTTCAAATTCTAATCATCGAGTCCACTCCAATCATCGCAAGCGGTATAATTTTTAAAAGCTGAAACGACAGATCGAAATTTAAATTATGCCACCGTGAGAGAAAAAGTGGTAATGTTATAGTGTAATTTGTTTGAGATTTTGAATTTTCAAACTGTCCAAGTTCCATGTTTTATTTACCTGCACAACTTTGCCACCATAAAGTATTCCGTGTCGTTTAGGCGAATGTCACTCGATCAGTATTTACTGTGATCCGCCAATATATTTATCATGAAATGTGATATTTATTGTCCGTGTAGCCTGGACGTCACTAAGTATTGATGCATAATGTTACATAGAAATAAACTGTTGGTACGGATCACAGAACTACTGATAGTGTGCCATTCGCATTACCGTTTCATATATAGTGCTTTTAGCAAAATTAAGTTTATGTCTAACATATTTTTCAAATAATTCTAAAGTAATTTCTCATCTTACTGATATTGATTCATCTTGTGGAGAATCCTGTTCATGAATAATTCAATTTTTGTAAAAAATGTTCTCTTCATTTGATTTCTGCCAAGCTAGGGAAAAGGGGGGCAGCCGCCCCTCTTTGACCCACCCCCTGGGTACGCCCTTGCGAATAATCATTTCACAGTTACAGGGGATGAAAGCTCAATATGCGATTCGTGTTGTAAAGAAATCAGTTTATAGGGAGTGATATTCAGTCTATTGATGCTCACGATCAGTACCGTGCACGGATGCAAAGGTATCAAAGAAGTATACAGAATAATTCGAAAGTTTCTTTTTAAAGCATACATATGAGAGAAATTGATGTTACGCAGAGACTTTAATGTATATTATGCAAACTTATTAAATAAATTGAAGAATCATCCTATCAGAAATGTTTACCTTCTCTGATTAAAAACTTTCCATCTACACGGTGTTTGGTAAGTGAACCAAACAAATTGATTAGGTAATTGGAAATGCTAATGGATGATTTTTAGTGAAAACCGTAATGCTTTAAGGGCTACGGTTACAGATATATAATAATAATAATAAATGTTTTTTATTGACAAGATAAGCACACACAAAAATACATATAACTTTAATAAATTCTAGCTGCTTTCCTGACAAACGGCAGAATTCGGATCTTACTATCGTATAGAAAGATCCGCTCTTACATTCAACCGAAAAAAAATCTATAATTGTTCATCTAGATCTAGACTTTACCGTGATACCTTACAAGCACGAAACTTGATACAAACAGAGTTGAAAAACAGAAATGAAAAACTGCTGTATACACAGAAAAAGGAGTTAAATTTTGTATGTTTCATATTGTACAGCCATCAGCGAATAGAAAACGCTTCGTTTTTTAAATAAATTTTTAGACAAACTCCTGTATGAAATCGGTACCTTATTATTCAGCCGTGCGACATTATAAGAAAAAGAACCTGTGTAAAACGATGTACAGAATCTAGGAGTAGAAATTTGTTATACAGATAATCAGGAGTTTGTTTGGTGATGATTTTATGAAACTTACAAATTGAATGCAGGATTCCTCGATATTTCATTCGTAACAGTTGTAGGCTGGAGTAGTGTTGAGAAACATGATCTCACCTCCTAGCTCCCGTGATAAAATGCATAAGTAGCTTGTGACAACACTGAAGCCTCCACCAGATTTTTCTTCCATTGCTGTGTGAGGATACGTCTACTATTATATAGGATTTTAAGATTACTTCATTTTAACACAGATGTGACATGTGTAACAAACAATTTGGCCGTTATTGCTTTAATTAGTGAAAGGTAATTAGCTAATTAGTCAAATATATTAATTAATTAATATTAGTTATTATCACCAGGATAGTCCGGAATTCGACCGGACATTCCGACAATAACATGAAGTTCATGTTTTGAGAGTTTGGTTGGAGCTGAGTAATGGAAACCGTTGAAAAGACGAATATCAATTTATCAGATGATAGCGATTTGAGAAAAGATGTAAGGTAACTTACCTATTTACTATCTTACGCAAAGAATACTGCTTAAGATCGGCGCGCACTAAGGTCAATTACTTAGATTTTACTCTTTAGTTATAAAATATTTCATATTTCAAAACTGATCAGAAGAATCTTCAAACGCTATGACCTTATCAATTTTAACACCGCTCTAGACACTTCATCTTCAAGAGTGGAAGTCTGGAGAAGCTCAAGTAGAAGTCTGACACTTGGTTGAGGTTAAGTGGATTTAATCTACGTGGCTACGAAATTAAACAACTGATGATCGAGAGTTGAACATCACCCGTTTATTAACTGTCAATCTGAAAATATTATTTTAGAAGGTTATTTAGTTGAGTTACTCTGTCAGCCACATGAGTAACTACCTATCAAGCATGAAATTGAACTGATTTCGTTATGATTTATTAAAAATTCAAAGAATTAGCTCATCGAATATGGAAGAAGATATGAATTAGATAAGTTGTATAAGATATAGAGATTGAGATCGTTTCATTGTCAAAAGTAATAATGAGATGATAAAAGATACTAAGTTGATCTACAATGAAGTCGTAATTATGTTATCAAAAATGTAAATAGCCACTGAATGAATAATTTGTGGAATCATGACCAGAAGGAAATTGAAAAATTGAACGCTAAAGAACAGAAAACCTAGGGTCTTTTCCCTCGAAATCCAAGAATAGAACTGAGTAGAAGGTGTTTTAAAACGTCGTGGGCCGTGACCGTTACAGTATGTGGATGCGCAGAAGTTAGATATTAGAACGGCGGGAAGAATATTACCCTAATCACAAATGTCGACTTTTTCGAGGCAGACTGTCTATCACACTGGCTCACTGGCACTCGGCTTTGAACATCCAAGGGAGAACTATCGGTAGTCATTGGCGATTTTTTATGTTGGATTTCCTTTATGTTACACCAGGTTTGTGAAGATTGTTTTTCATATTCGATATGTGAGTGTAACAGTTTCGGAGATTGTAGATGACTTATTGTATGAAGCAGCGTTAGCATTGAAGTTGGTATTATTCTTTTTCATGCATAAAGCTTTGATAATCTGAGATGTAACGTATCTGCGTTTAATTATGCTAATCAAATGTTGCTCCAAGATCGATTGGAACGTATTACCACACGCTTCTAATCACATTTTATTTGCGAACCTTTTCAAAGGAACATGAACTTCAATATGATAATTTTACTCAGATCTATGATAATATTTTTTGTTGAAAGGGATAAGAAGGAGCACAAGGTTGTTCATAGCCAGGGCCGCTAGATTGTATATGTTTTTCAATTCATGAGCCGTGAAAAGGAGGCAGGGGAAGTCATTTTACCTCTAAATCAGCTGACGAATCGAGTAGCAGAGGCCACAGGTGTACGTGATCAATAGCAAAAATTAGTGTATAGTATATATATATATATATATATATATAGTGTATGTATAGGTATCCTTTAACAAAAATGTATTGAAAAATGATTTCAATGAAAGACCGCAAGAAGATTTTTGTTTTCAAAATAATTTACTTAAAGTTTGTAAAAGAAACGGTTTGCTCTAGAGGAGACCTTTTCGCAGGTAGGAATATTGTATACAGCGATGAGACATTCACAGCTCTCATACAGTGCCAAAGTCCTGGGACGATGAGACAAATACCTGTCTGCAAGCACCACTGGTCAAGGGAAAACGTTTAGTTGTGTTGCATTGTGGGGGGAAAAGGGCTTTGTACCGAATGCAGAACTTCTGAAATCATATATACTATATACTGAATAACCCAGTCCTACTGCTTCCATAATTGATTTGTCAGCTGCCAGCTACCTACGCTACTGATTCCATACCACGCCACAGACGCGACGACGGGGAAACACACACAATGAAGAACGACTCTAAGCCAGTTATAACAGGTGGGCTGAAAAGTCCGTATCGTTTCTATGAGATGGCGCCACCAGAATAAAATCCATACGCTTCTTAGCTAGTACCAACCTTCAAAAGTTGCCTGTCAAAATTTGACAGCTGTCGGATCATTAGTTTTTGAGTTATCGTATCGAGAGTGACGCTACTTTTGTTATTTTTGAAAACCATGGAAAGTCAAGAGTTTCGTGTGTTAATGAAACATTATTTTTTGATGAAAAAAAGTGCCGTCGAATGCAAGAAATGGCTTGATGAGTGTTATCCGGACTCTGCCCCGGGCGAAGCAACCATTCGCAAGTGGTTTGCTAAATTTCGTACCGGTCACATGTCAACTGAAGACGACGCACGCAGTGGACGCCCAAAAGAGGTCGTTACGGACGAAAACGTGAAAAAAATCCACAAAATAATTTTGGGAGACCGCAAAATATGGTTGATTGACATAGCTGAGGCCTTAAACATATCAAAAGAACGTGTCAGTCACATCATTCATGAATATTTGGATATGCGAAAGCTCTGTGCGAAATGGGTGCCGCGCAATCTCACATTTGACCAAAAGCAACAACGCATCGACGACTCTGAGGCCTGTTTGGAGGTGATTTTGCGCAATAAAACCGATTTTTTTCGCCGATACGTCACCATGGATGAAACATGGCTCCACCACTACACACCGGAGTCAAATCGCCAGTCGGCCGAGTGGACGGCTGCATCCGAACCACCTCCGAAACGTGGAAAGACGCAACAGTCAGCAGGCAAGGTTATGGCCTCTGTTTTCTGGGACGTGCAAGGAATTATTTTCATCGACTATCTTCAAAAGGGCCAAACTATCAACAGCGACTATTATATAGTGTTACTGGAGCGTTTGAAGGCCGAAATCGCCAAGAAACGGCCACAAATGAAGAAAAAAAAATCTTGTTTCACCAGGACAATGCGCCGTGCCACAAGTCCATGAAAACGATGTCGAAATTGCATGAATTGGGCTTCGATTTGCTCCCCCATCCACCGTATTCTCCGGACCTTGCTCCAAGCGACTATTTCCTCTTCTCAGACCTTAAGAGAATGCTCACCGGAAAAAAATTTCACAGCAACGAAGAAATCATCGCCGAAACTGAAGCCTATTTTGAGGACAAGCCGAAGGATTACTACCGGAAGGGTATCGAAAAACTTGAAGAACGTTATAATCGCTGTATAGCCCTTGAAGGCAACTATGTTGAATAATAAAAGCGAATTTTGACGAAAAAAATATTTTTTCATTGAAACGATACGGAATTTTCAGCCCACCTGTTATTAGCTCTAAACACGTCATTGAACCCTTAAATGGTAGGGAAACAACGTTTCGTAAGGGAATCGAATTAAATGAATATCATTCCCAATGTTCCGTTAAAGAATACGCGTTCTGTAATTAATTTATGTTGTATCACCACACCAAATTATTTAATAAATAAGAATGTGACAAAAATTACCGAAATAATTTGACTGACATACAGCAGACCTAGTATCAGTTATGTTTTTAGAAATGACTCGTCTGCTTCTCCACAGATTTGAATCCGCGCATGTAGTCTAACGGTCATGCCTCACGACGTTTTAAAACACCTCGACCTGTTCTTCCCGAACGATCCTCTTGGACTGAGAGATCAGACAGATGGTTATTCATTCAGTGGTGTCGCATTTAAAAGCGACAAATAGAATATGTACAATTAGATCAACAAATGATTTTCTCCATATTATTTGGTGGGCTATTCTATCAAACATCTTCCAATTCAACAGGCGGGAGAGTTGGACAGTCGTTAACGTAGTGAAAGCAAGCCGGTATCAGAGGAAAACTACCAAAAGAACCTCTTTCCGCGGTAATTTACTTGATCTTTCGAATCTCTATTACAGTTGAATATTTCATTCTTGATGGTTATTCCTGTCAAATTCTTTAGAGAAAGCTGAGAAAGCTAGTAGTGCTAAAATACATGATTTATTTTGATCAAGTGCTACATGTATATCATCAACTCTTTTTAGTAAGGCCATAGTACAGCAGTGATTTGCTCGAGAACCAAACTGGCTCTCTGGCAGTATCTTATGTTTCTCAATGAAGTCTAGCAATTGTGAGTAAAGAATCTTTTCAAAAACCTTGACAAGGACGCACAGTATGGCGATAGGTCTAAGATCTGTGTAACTTTCTTGTTGGTTTTTTTAGGGGGGGCGGAATAACTCCTGCTATCTTCCACAAGGCCGGAATCAAATTATAAACAATGCAATATTGAAATATGTGTGCTAAATGAGGTAATATGTAGGGACAACCATATAAAAACATGTTTATACTGGTGTTATCCTCACCAACGACTGAAGATTTGATTGTTAAAATATACTTATCGACATCATCCTCGCTGATAGTTTGAAACTTGAATTCCAGAGAGCTCTGATACTTATTGTAGAAAAAAAATTAATGTCATCATCATCTGGTGGATGTGTGTTTTTCAAGTGTAATGATAAGACTTTTCAGCTCTTTGTAGTAAGCAAATTGATGCAGTTTCCTGTAAATTTCAAATTTTGTTAACGCTTTGTCACGTAAGGACATACTAAATTTCAGGTTCAGCCATGAAGCTTTTTCTTTAGTAATTTTTACAGCTCTTATAGGTGCATATTTTCCAAAGAGCTCCAGGATCATATGATTAAAATAGGTCAATTTTAAAGTTAATGTTATTAGAGTTGTATAACATGAAAGAATCAGAACCAATTAAATCACGAATAAAACTGTTTGTCAAAATTCCTGAAGATGTGATATATTTTTTTTTTCATTTTTATGCTGAATTCACTACAATTGCGCATAAATATCGTTGAAAGTTTTTGGTGTTTGTCGATATACTAACTAACTATACATGGCTTCGTTGTGTAATTTATGCTCAATAATATCAAATTAGTACAAACTGCGCCATAAAAATGTCATGAAGTTGTGCGGAGTGAATACAAACTTTGAAATTTGAACTTTTATTACAAAAAAAATATATACCTTTTTGGAACGTTATTTATAAAACTTCTGCGGTTTATTACCTTTTCAACGATATGCTACCCATCTCAAAAATAATGTGTTATGTGATCAACAAAAAATGGTTGGTTAGATTCAGGAACAATGAAATATGTTTATTTTGTGTTATCTCGACAAACAAAAGACTTGCAGGGAATTCAGAGTAAAAATAAAAAAGAATTATATCGGTAATCCTAGCCCTTAGAACAATACGGTTTTCACTAAAAGTCATTAAATAGCATCCCAAATTACCCAAAAAACTTTGTCGGTTCATCTATCAAGTACCCTGTATAGGATCTGCTATTTTTCATTTTACTGACAGATGACTGATCAAAAGCGTTCTCCTAATATGTTATATTGCATCTATGTGCTATGTGATCTATGGCTTGGCCTAGTCTGCTAGATGTTATCTGAATGGGCTGTTTTGAAAATTTTGAAAACCTTGAGATTGATTGACTGAGGCCATGAATGTGAAACAGTTTTTGCTGAGTTGAGCTGTTGTTAAAGATTCAGTTATTGCTACCAAGTTTTTTCTTAAATCAAGTTTTAATAAATTATAGATCACTTTTAATCAACATCTTTAATCATTTTTTTTTTTGGTTTAATTTGAAGCTTGTGCCAGCTCAGGAAAGCTTAGTAGATATCGCGAGTCAGACGGCGTGCATAGAGACTATCATCAAAGTACAATTGAAGAAAATCAGAAGTACGCTGGATGACATCGACACATTAGATACTGCTTGCCAGGCGGCCACCAATAGGTTGTCGTCCTTAAGGAGTTCAAAGGTGTTCAGTCCTGACGAATTGGTTCCACAGAATCAGACTTCACAGGTAAGAATAATAGTTTGAATACGAGGTATATACTCTAACTATATTAACTTGGTTTCATGTGAGCAAGGCAAAAGTCTCTCACTCCTGTCTCCTATCTCTTAATTTCTGTCGAGAAAGTTCAGGTTGTTAGTTGGCAGTGTCAATGAACATCAGCAGGATGTCAAGAAATTGAAGAATAACTGTGCAACCGTAAATAAGGCACGTCATGAGCTGTTCGGCAGAATTTTGTTCAGTCAAAAGTCAAAAGATATACTGCAATCAATTTTTTACAGCAAAAATCGACACTCGTCTAGTTAAATTCTTGCCTTTTCTACATATGTATATTAAATTTTTTAGCCGGAATTGTTTTAAAATATTCACAACTGATTTTTCTATCGAAATCAGTCTTCTTTTTTACTGTGTTGTAGCGAAACCTTCATGAAGCCTATTGAAATACAACATTTTAATGAATACCAACTTTGATGTCTTACTTTGACACACTGTAGTAATAAAGGATGAAATAGGATCACCGTGGAAAATACTTTAAAGGTTGCACATTTAATGTGATTTTCAGAATGTTACTGTTTTCTAATATTTTGTTAGCTGTTTTCTTTTTACAACAACTTTAATAGAGTATTGCTTTGTTTTTTGAATATCAGAATAATGCATTTATGATACGAATGAGGAATGAGGGACTGTATTGATGTTGAAATGGTAATTTTTTATTAAATTCTCTAGACTAGGCCCTTATGCAAGCCCTGGACCTTTAATAAATGACCTTTTTAGATTGCGAGAATACCACCTCTGTGTTACAGAACTCACGTTTGTTTGATAGACCATATCTTCAATGGAACCCAAATAAGATAAATCCAATGGATTTAGGTCCGAAGATCTTGATGGCCAATGGCATCCGACTCACATTTGGTAGACGGCGTTGTATCAACATCTTTCAAATCGTCTCCGTTAAATGTGGGAGTTTTTTTGTGGTTTTGTGTGCTGTTGCAGTGTGGCTTGAAGTTATAACTGACGCGTTGTTATCTTGATGTATTAAGGTTAAGGCTGTGTTATTCAAATTTAGAATGACTTTAACCTGCCCAATATGCGAGTCACCTGTTACTCGAAAACAAATGTCCATTTTTTGTGGTGGCTCATGCAAAAATGTGGTACACGTGTCTTGTATTTTTTTTATAATCCAACTACCACGAAGGCCTAAGGCCTAAATACCCATTGGGTACCGTGGGGCTATAGGGGGATACAGGGGAAAGGGAGAACGCCACACGGACTCTGGCGAGGGAACACGTGTGCATGCAACATGCACACATTCTGGCTCCGCCTACGAGATCCGCCGGGTGGTACCTCCACGTTCGACAGTCAGAGACCGTCTACCACCTACGGACAATCACAACATCCATAGCCAAGAGAAAAAATTCTCTTGGGACGGGACTCGAACCCGCACAGCGCACGGCGACTGATCAGGAGACCGAAGAGTCTACTACTGCGGCCACCGCTTTATGCTGGTACAGAGGATTTACCAACACTGATAAAACTGATTCCTGAAATTTCTTGTAAATATAACACTTGTCTTACCGCTGATACATCTACCGAGGATACAGATCTTGGTCATCTTGTTTAAAGCAAAATTAGTCATGCTTGGGATCCTGTTGTCCTGCAGGTAAATCAACTTAGATAGGCTGTTGAGCAAGCTGCCTGGCTGAAACCTGAGACTACAAGTGTTGACAGAAAGGTTTCATATTCCAGTGTTTTAAGGAACAAAACGGTGCCTGCTGTCATAATTAAACCTAAAGAGGTGCAAGATACTTCAAAAACAAAGACTGATATTCTTCAGAAGATGTATCCATATATTCTTCCTGTGGAACCTCTTTGTATATATGAAAATGCGTTTGAGTTAATTTGTTCTGTTCATCCTTGCATGATGCTAATGTATTAATTATGGTAGATCTTAAAATTACTAGTTATTCGTCATACAACCTAAGTAGAGTGGAATCAACTGTTGTTAGTAGCCTGATCAACTTTTGTAATTTCCATCCTCTTGAGAACTACGTTTTTAATTCCATCATGATACTCCTAGATATTGTTTTGAGCAACCTGGTCTGTAATGTAGATAGATGTAGTGATCCCCTATTGATGGAGAATATGCATCATCCATCTTTAGTTGTCTCTATTAATGAATTACTTTCCAAAGCAACAAGACAATTTGATAGAATGATGTCCAATTCTTTCAATTTTAGAAAAGCCAATATAATAAATTGATTGTAGATGAAGCTTATAAAGCCTTGAAAAGACTAAAACCTAAATTAACCTCCGGACCAGATACTTTTGTATTGAAAGACTGTGTTTTTAAGAATAAATTAAACAAGTGTGATATTGAAAGTTACATGCAAATCACGATTATCAACAACTTTTCAAAAGTGGTTGAGTTTCTTATTTATGATGCAGTTTATTGGCATGTGCATACTTTAATAACTCAACAGCATGGTTTCATGAAAAAGCGATCAACAGTTACAAACTTATTCTGCACTGCACAGAATATATCGACAAATTAACTAACTTTGGCGGGATTGGTCATCTCCCCTCAATTCCTATCTATCTGAGAGAGTCACATACGTAATGCACAACGGCTTCAGATCTAATAGTTATACGATTACGTCTGGTGACCCTCAAGGGTCTGTTCTGGGGCCATTATTTTTCATTATGTTAATAAATGATATATACATTCAATTAGATGTCCAGTTTCTCCTATATGCTGACGATCTCAAGCTTTGTCCGATTCGGTCTCTTGACGATTGTGCAAGTTACAATGTAACATTAACATGCTTGAAGGCTGGTGTCGCAAAAATTGCTTACCTTTAAATGCTGCGAAGTGTAATGTGGTCAGTTATACCAACAAAACTCAAGCAATTGTATTTGGTTATAATACTGCTGGTGCTCCTCTCAATCGCTTAAGCGAAGTCAAGGACTTAGTTGTCATTTTTAATAGTAAGTATTGCTTCAATAGTCATATGGAGACAATTATTGCTGAGTGTTACAAAAGATTGGGCTTTATTATACGTTGTGACGTGAGTTACAAGATATTAATACAATTAAGCTGTTGCATTGCTCATTTGTTCGTTCAAAGCTTGAATATGCATCAGTTGTTTGGCGGCCTTGCTATAACTTTTGGATACATAAACTTGAAAATATCCATCGACGATTACTAAAGTACCTACATTTCAAGTAAAATGGCAGTTACCCGCCAATTGGCTACCCTCAAAAATTTTTAGAAGAAGCATTTGAACTAGAAAGACACATGGAAAGGCGTGATAAGTGTTGCGTTAATTTTGTGCGTAATATATTGCACAGTTGTATCGTTGCTGCCATATATTGCATACATTGAATTTACTTGTTCCACGCTTAAATTCTAGACAATTTCATACTTTTTGTTTCCCTGTCCCTGGATCAAACGTCCTGAAGTTTTATCCACTATTTTACGCTTGTGGTAGAGCTAATGATGTTGCAGAACAGTTAGATATATTTCTGTGAGGTTATGTCTGTCTTTTTTGCTTTCTTATCTGCACTATGATATTTGTACATATTTGTAAATAGCACCTTTGTGTTCGATCTACCTATGCTTGCTTGTATTATAAAATAATTGTTTTTTTTTTGTTGTTGTCCGGACTGTGTTCTACTCTGTAAATGGCTGTTGCTATTGAGTAGTGTATAAATAAATAAAATAAAATAAATAATGTTGATTTAGGCGACCGCGGACACAACGAGTGTAGTGTCAACCGTCATGTTGTAGCTACATTTTTCGTCTTATTGATATTAGCACATCTTCCAACAGATTTGGCAGCCGATCTGCTAGGAAGACCTTCTAGATTTCCCCCATTAACCTTCCTGGTAATTCGTATCACCTTCCCAGTCAGTATATGAATCCAGAGATTTACTCTAAACTCTGTCTGGGAACGATCTTGATGTATTGCGTGGGGATTCTCCACTTGCAAGTTGAGCATATTCAAGTACCCGCCTTTTCGAGGCGAAGGCTCGTCACTCCACAGAGTTGTGTCGAAAAATTTAGAATTTTCATTTTTTTGGTCCGACAAAATTCTAACTGTATCGTTGCAAGGTGTCATGGATTGTGCCTTTAGAAATGCATATCGTACGAGCTATTTCCAAACAGAAGTGGATGGGTAGTCATTCACTTCATCCAAAAACCTCCTCCTCAACGTCCATTCGTGGTCTGCCACTGTCACCTTTTCTATTACCTTTTTCTCTTCCCGGTATGAGTAAGCTTGATGAACGTTAATGGAGACCCTACCTATGGGAGTATGTCGATTGGGTTATCTTGAATAAAAGTACATTAATATTTTTTTTCTAGTTATTGCTGTACATAAGAGTGAAAATAAAACCACCTTACCTTGCATGATGGAGTTAAGCAGTTTTGGTAGCGATGCGCTGGCATTCCCCATAAATGACTTGCATATCTGCGTACGTGGTATTTGGAAATAACGAAACAACTACCTCCTAAGACGCAAAGAGTAGAAAACTAAAAAACACTAAACACGAAAACAGCTAAGGCTATAAAACTTGAACAGCAAATAATAAAAAGCACTGAACAACTACTTAATATAAATTTTCAAAACCTGGGAACAATGTTTCAAATTTAAGGGATCTTTACAGTTTCATACCAGACAATGGTTGACATTTTAGAGTCAAGAAATACGCATAAACCATGCAACACACAAAAATCTACATTTTTTGGCGGATTGCCTTCAAATTATTGTCATTTGAATTGTCGCTGAAAATAAAGCAGTTGTACCATTTCTGCTAAGTCTCTATCTCTAGGTATTGTAATCTTTATAGTGAGTGTTTGATCAGTGACGTTTTATACGATTATGTATTTTGAGATTGCTTATACATATTTTATTTAAACATAATCCTCGCCTTAGGTGCTTCATTATGTCTTCATACTAGTACACGCCAAGTAACTACCATAGCTACTAAACTCTATCTAATGAAGTAACATGATTTTACTGCCACTAATGTGTAAATCATTCACTAAAAGTTTCCTCATTTGTATTGTATTTATATTTTTTGCTGTTAGATATACCAATAGAGATGCTCCCGCATCTTGTGTATCCACCGAAATCTCCCAACAGAAGTGGTTTCTATAATACAGTTGCGTGGTAAAATCTGATCAGCCACCAAGGAAATTTTACACAAAGGATACTCGTGCAAACCAATGGATTCAATGTGAATACCAATGCTAGCGAATATAATAATTACTATCATAAAGTCAATCCTGCAATCCTAATCGCGTTATAAAAGTAATTTTTTGATATTCCAGAAACTTGACGAGCTTAAAATACGCTATAAAAAGAAAATAATAAACAAAATGTTGGACATTAGTACCATTGTAAGCTTGGCATTAAATAACAATCTTTTTTTAAAGTATTTAGCACCGTGATCCTGACCCATTCTTTGTTCCTACAGGGTATCAGAGTTAGACGTATACATTGGTTTTTATTGAAACATTGCATTAGAATAGCATATGAGTATAACATAAGAATAAAGCCACGCAAATCTTGGGTATCTTCTCGTGTCCGTGCATACTCGGTTTCAGTATGCATGTGTCTCTAACTCTTCTACTATTTAGAATCGAAGATACAGATACATGCCCAATGTACTTTACTGTTACCATGAGTTTTGAATATATTTCGTTTAATCCTCATTTGTTCGACTATAATTTCTTATCATATATGCTCATCTTTTTTAGGGTCAAACGACGGACGACGAGGAGCACCTACTGGTTGATCACATCCAGGAGATCCAGAAAGAAAAGGAGCACCTCACTTCCACATTACCTACGCTTACGCATGCCACGTCAGATGACGACATGCTATCTACAGATGGTGACGGCAGTCTGGATGACCTGTCGTGTATTGACAGACCACGGCCAAGGCCTGTTGTCAGGTATTGTTCTAATTCTGTACGACTGCTAAGTGTTTGTTGCATTATAATTCCGCAAATGCATCTTTATAAGTTAATAAATTAGTGCATTAATTTAAAATAGTGCAATACCGCAGCTGTGAAAAAACAGTACCCGGTGGTCTTTGAACTGAATCTATACTATTTGGTTATAAGAAATAGATCCTGCACAAAATACTTGGGATGTTGTACCACGGTGAAAATGGTTCCAGTTGCAATTAATATGTTGCAATTTTTGCGTTATGAGTAAACTAAATGCGATATTTCATAAATGCTGAGTTTTTCATAACTCAGGTGTGCTATTTAACAATATATACTTTGTTTGACAGCAATGTACAATGCTCTGACTAGGCATTGCGTGAATAGTTGAGGGAACTGACAAAAAGAAAGACGGGAGAAGGACAGATTTGATAGAAAGGTAACTTATCTCTCACTACTTCATCACGTTTTGATGTCTATTGACGTGATCGGCAATTCACATCTTTTTCCTTTTATTACCTTGGACATGACACCCCAACTTAACTAACGCTCTCTACTTCTAGCTTTCCAGATTACCTACCATTTGGAATATTAATTTAAAATGTCATGGTATCGGCAGCTATTTAGTATTTTTAGAAACGCTCTGCAGCTTCATAAATATACAATATTGCATCACAGATGAGAAAAAATGCAATCACCCCAATGTTGAGCATATCTTCAAAAAATGTGGTATTTGTAATTCAACATATATATTACAATACAAAGAGTTCCAAGGAAAACCGAAGGTAGTGGGGATCGACCAATGTAGATTTTTCGCCAATGTATCGGCCATATCGCACGTTCGTCTGTTTCGGTACACAATCGAGTGTATTTCGGTTCGAAAACCTTGGGTAAAGCTCGTTGCCGCAAACATGTCTAAAAAAGTCATAATATTTGCTTGCAGCGCTTTGGTTGCAGCATGTTCAGTACTCCACAAAAATGTCATAAATGAGAAAAAGTAGACATAATCCGATTGAATTTTCGATAAAAAGGCTGATGAAATTGACAGTACAATTCGTGTCCTATGCAAAAAATACATTTATTTGGACGGATGAGGGAAAGGAAATTAATTATCTGACTGGCGAAATGATAGCAGTGGACAACCAACAATTTTCTCTACTACTGACATTGGTTTTACTCGTTTATCGAAAAATGCATCTCTTACTTATGACTTACCGTCAGGCAAATAATTCCATTTCCATTTTTGATACACATTAAAGCTGAAAAATATGTGTGCAAGAGAAAATATATCACATAATCGGAAAAATGTCATAAAAAATAGACATATGTACCTGTCAAGCGTACGCAGCGAACACGTTTTTTTTTTGAGGCGAACAACATTTATGATGTCGCAACATTTATGCTCCCAACCGAATTAGGTTATCTCCTGTTGGACGATAAGCTTTTTTATTCATAATGCCATAATCTGACTCAAGTATATCTTAAATGGTTTTCAATCTCATTATTTTTGATAGTTCCTGTTATATTGCTTTCCACGTTATTAAACGCTATTTAACTTAATTTATATCGGCATATGGGCATCAAGATCGGTCGATACACACAGGGAAAACAAAATTTGTCTGACGACTTGAGTTCAATGTGTACCAGAGAGAAGCACTAGAATTATTTAACAACACATGTTAGAAAGATATAGAAGCTGGCTTAAGAGGGTCGTCACCTCATTTCCTAGCAACTGTGACGTAGAAGGTCGAGCAATCTGCCGCGTTGCCTGTATTTTGCATCAGAAAATGTTCTCACAGGCTGCCTCAATAGGTTAGGTTACTGAGAAACCCAAGAAGGAGGCATTTTCGAACACTTAATTTAATATTTTGTTTTCAGTTTCATTAGAATCATTTATTTCAATTTTGATGCAACTTATTGTTTTTAATTTATTTTAGAATTGTCTTTGATTTTTATCGATGGTGATAAAATCAACACATCCGGAGTTATTGTTACATAATCTGCGGTTGGAAAATGTAACAAATACGACTACGCAATACAAATTATCACTGCCTGCGTGTATGTAGGTGAAAGTCATTTCGAAGCGCGACGACACTCTCCTACGAGCGCTAGATGGGCACCAACCAAAATCGCTGAACTATGATCATATAGGTAGAAACCTTGCCTTGAAATGTACAAGATGCGGTGTTATCAAACGAACCAATGAGGCAATATTGCAGAATTTGTGGCAATCCTGACCGATCCGGAATCAATATGCATCTTAATTTAAGGAACTGGTGTAACATATTGGCAACGCGGCAGAATGCTGCGTCAGCGCTGCTAGGTAACGCGGTAATGAGCTTCGCTATCCATGCGGCCTCTACACACTTCTCTCTCGAACACATTGAACTCAAGCCGCCTGACAAACCTCTTTTTCAGTGGATATTGGCAACAGTATTATATTTTTTCAAGTTACTATCAGCCGACATTCGAAATACCATGTGTAATCGTTTGTTTATAACAGGTTTTTGATTTGTTTTGGAATTATGGAACACCTCTATGTAGATCAAATATGCAAATATATGCATTTATAATCTACACACTTCATCCCTTGAGTTGTTTTCCAATATCGTGCACACTTTACTCGTGTTTTGTTAATACATGCATTTACTACCGCGAATTCTTTCGGAGCCCAGAGCTGATTTGGATATCTTATTGGGAAAACTCCAAACAAGTACAGACATATCACAATTCTAACCATTTTTACCGGGATATAGGGATTCCCATATACTCTGTGTGGGAATTATTTCACATAACCTGATTCATAGTTCAACAATTTTGACATTCCGTTCACAACACTGGCCTTTTTCAAAATACAAAATGAATCGACTATGACAATGTTTAGATTTTTGTTCTACTAACATGATCTTTGTTGCATCCAGAGTCTGTACACGTTTATCTTATTTACTTAGAAAACAAAAAAATCACTAATTATTGTGTAGCTCTCTCCATTCACTGCAACATGTTAGCCGGCATTATAAAGAAACTTAGTGTTACTATATTGTTTTTAAGATTGACTTAATAGAGGGATATTTTTTCTCAGGTCAGTATCTACTTCGGGACCAGGCCAGACGAAGGCCAGGCGGCAGATATCGTCTGAACCGAAGCTACAAGACGATAGTGAAGATGCTATAATGGTGTAGAGACAGAGTGTGAAAGTATGTGCTGAATGTGAAAGAACTTTTTACTCCAGGTGAATGTCAATGATCGGAATTGGAAGGTGATGACAACAGCTGCATATGTGATAATTCTCCAGTATTTTGTGTCTCTCATGTTTATTTGAATTTCAGTGATCATTCCTGTGGTGCAAATGGTGATTAATTAGAGGTACTGTATCGACTGAATCAGGTTATCTTTGTTGTTGAAAAAAGAAACATTCTTGGCAGATAATGTTTTTCACTACGGCTGTTACTGCAGTCATTGTGGTCTATTTTGGAGTTAGAATTACCAGCGACCCGATCGAACATTTCGAGTGGTATTTGATGACTGTATCGCGCAATGATAATACACTGCCTCACCTTCAGACTGTTTGGCTTCAACAAGATGGCGCACGCTACTAGCGCACAGCCGGCGACAACAACTCTGCGAGCAGATAGTATCTCGTTTCTGATCGACAAATTAGTCGCGTAGATAGTACCTTTAGACGTTTTCCTTTGGGGACTATGTCTACATGGATACGAGAGTATGCCAAATATCACTCGAAATGAGCCACGTTAACCGCAGCGACGGAAAACATTTAAAAGCAATAATTCGCAAAAATTAAATGTAATATTTTTTTGTTTTGTTTGATAATAAAGATAACCCGACATAGTTGCTGGTTTTCGTTTTTTCTATGCTTTAAAAAAGTACATATATTGGACTTCAAAGTAAAAGTGTTGATCTTGAATTATAAACAATCAAAATCAAAGTTTGTTTTTACTCATACACATTTATGAGGTACATCAGATCATTTCTGTTACAAACTACAGTTGATACTAAGTGATCCATTATGATTATCAAAGTTAACTTTCATGTGTAGCAAGATGATACAAAAAATACGTCATTATAGTGTCACATGTCTCTACTCATCATCTTCCCGTCCAAGTCAAAAGTGTACATATTTATATATATATATATATATATAAAAAATAATATTTTTTAAATTATTGTGTGATACCACACCTAAGAGTTTTTCTTTAAGTTTTTACTTCTTTCTATTTCCGGTATAAGTATATCGATTGTTGTTCGATACAATTATATATAGATACGTGAGTGATATGTAAAATTCAATTCTATGTGAAATGTGTTGGAGCCATGACAGTTCTGGATGTTGCTGTTTCATTATGTGACTGGACGTCAGGGGCGCTGATTTATTGATATGTGACGTTGTCAAAGATATAATAATATCTTCTATTTGTTGACTTAAAAAATTATCATCACTTAGATAATGGTGGTTCTGTTAACAAACTTCAAAATTAAATTTACTTTGGAAGATGAGTGACAAACTCATCAGTACCCATTGCATCATATTTATACGAAGTTACATAATGTTCCTCAACAGGAGTCATGTGCATACCTGCGCGGCTGATATGGTTTCAAAACGTATGATCGGTACTTATTTCTATAAATGTGAATGCACTGTCATTTGTTTTACCGATTAAATTGACGTTAGAATACGTTGAATGTATTATCCTATATCCACCAAAACAGAAAAACAAAATCTAGCCAAGAATACGGAAATGTATTTCTAAACATCAACCCATTATTTGGATTAAAACGCTAATGGATAGGTTTTACTATGAATTTTCTCGGTAGGGTTTTGGTAGTTGTGGTGCCTCGTAGCCTTGATATTTTTAGACTGCTTTTTTCAGACGTATGGATGAGTTTAAAAACTGAATAATCAAAATCAGTATCAGAAGTTCACAAAATATAAAGCAAAATTCCCTGTCCATCAACTAATGTGATTTTGGAAAAGCGTTTGTCGTTTATTATATTACTGCTGAAGGTAGTGTATTCTTCTTTAAATAGAAGTTGAAGTTTCCACCAATAATTTAGTTTCGATCTGTGTATTGGAATAATAAGATACGTAACAACTAATAAAATTTTAGTATATTCCTATACTGGCTAGTTAAATAAGCATGATAATCAAAAATTATTTATTGTCTGTGATTTTAATTGATTTAAACTCGCCCCTGACTGGATGGCCAGTCTCTAACATAAAAATAGTTGTCAGAGTACGAAAGGCAGGGTAATAACCAATTTAGAGAATGTAAAATTTTATATATTGATAAGTGAGTGAATTGTATTAGGAAAATTGAGTTTCTAAAACCATTGGGGATAAATCATTTGATATTGAGTGAGAAATTTGTACAAGGATAAAAAGGGTCATCTTATACAGTGGTGTATTGAGACTGGCAGCTTGTTTGTCTCAAAAGCTTATGTAGACCTAAACTGTTACTCTTTTCAAACTGTACTAAGCGCTAACATGCTGACCATCCTTACTTGAGTTTAATTATCAATTGTCATTTCTCCTAGTTTTTCTCAGTCAAGACACAGCCTATGTTTGTCGCAGTGTATGAGGTCAGCTACAGGTTATGACCTGTAGCTGACTACTTATGACTAACGTTTAAGAATCATTCTCACGACCACGCGAATTTTGTTCTTAAAATAAGTGAATCTTTAAATAAATATAGATGCGTCAAATCAAACATGAACACTCTATCGCTTCTATTTGCTTAACGCTTCCCTTCCCAGGGACTTATGGCCCGCTGGCTAGTGCGCCAATATGACCGTCGCGCGGCACCGATTGTTTTGACATTTAAATACTTTGTATATCCATTTACTGCAATGAAAACATTGATGGATCAACAGATAGTAGTTTTGATAATAGTGTATTACTATTAAATATATCTCGTAGAACAAATAGAGTCACGTGATTTACGGCTTATCCCGTCATCCACTTGGATTACTAGTTATCATAATTTTTGTCACTTTAAAACGCAAGCCGTAACTTGGTTGAGGGAAATGACAACTGACATTTAACTCAAGCAAGAACTTTCAGTGTGCAGCACTTCATTAATATGTGAAGACGGCCCCCAAAAAAGGAATGCTTTTCCCGTTGTAACCTGTCGTTTATAACATTTACAGTTCCAACAGTTATTTGAATGGGCGGCGTGTATAAAAGATGCTCGACAATCAAGCGCTGCATCTTCCCCGCATTTACTTTGACACCTTAGTTCAACCCCTCTCTGTTTTTTGCACTGATAAGAAAACTCCAACAGACTCTTTGTCCTTGGGCATCCACGGCATTTGAATATTTGTTTGACGGTTTCGATGAGGTATTTGGAAAAACAATTAAAAAATGTACTGAACTGAAGTTGTAGGAATACAGTCGTAAAAATTGTTTGCGAGCGCGTGACACTTGTAAAAACGGTAAAGATGAAATGCTAGATCATCGATACACAGTCAAACTTAGTTTTTGCCTGACCAAGCTGCTACCGGGTTTCAGTATTTTTGAGCAGTAAATTTGAATATGGAGAGTTTAGTTGTGATCATTAGTAGGCTTATACGGTGATTCGAGGCTAGAGCTGTTTTATTTTGGCCACCGATTCGTCATCACGGGTCGTTGAAGAGCGTGTATGTATGTGTATGTCTTCAAAGGGTGAAGTCCAATTTTGAAGCTGCTTGAAGACCTGGCTTCTGTTGTTAGGTTGTATCCTCCAAACACTGCATTGCAAGTGATTGAGGTGTCGCGCGGGTGCCATTCTGGTTATTCATCAAACGCCCCCAGTACCTTTACTCCCTGTACGTTTATCACCTCGATTATCACCGAGAGGTCTGTTTTCCTAATACAGTAGCTCTACTGTAACCTAAAGCGCTTATATTGACTTGTCTATAAGAACAAAAAACTAAATAATGATAGAGGAATCAACGTAAATTATCTCAAAGCAATCAGTTGAACCGCGTGTATCTACTTGATTTTTATTTTGGATGATTGTAGTTATCTCAAGCATCAAACGTACTGTTTCAAAGTTTATTGATGTATTCCATTTCAATGCATTTAAGAATAGTTTTTGGGTAATATTTCATGAATATTCTTATCTTACTGTTATAGCCAAATAATTCTGATCAATACAGGTAAATCTTACTGTCGCTTTTGTCGCTAAATATTTTAATCAAATGGACCTACCTGATCTAAAATGCATTATTTTATCGGAGATTTCGATTCGTTCGGAACATTTTTAGTTTTCATTTCAGTGCAAATATTAAATTCCATGTTAACACGTTTCACTTTTTCTATTACTAAAATTAATATACAGTGCTTTTCAAAAGCCTCCACTTATTTTTTGAAGAGTGAAGACATTTTGGGTTATAAAATTGATGCATGAATATATCTTAAGGTTAAGGTGGCAATTCAAAACTTTAATATGGCGGCTGTTTCATTAAATAGAAGGCAGGTCATGTATGTTATCATAGTATATCAATTTTCTTCTTTCTATCCAAAATACGAAAGATTCCATTAAAAAATTCAAAATCTGCCTTTTTCAAACCCATTCCATATTTTATTGCATATTCAGATAGGTAGTCCCAAAAGAAGAATATTGATATAACATATTATGTATCCTTCACATCTTGAAATTTATATTATTTTAATGTTAAAACATTGTATCCGTGCATCAATTCCATGACTCCGAATGTTATCTTGCTTACTTGACCTGGTTAAACAAAGAAGTGTATCCCATCTTTTTTAAATGCACAATATATTCCATATTAATACATTTCAGAGTAATACCATGCTCGTAGTATTGGCAATGTGCCAGTTATCTGTTTCCATATAAAAACATTTATGATAAAATCGTTTAAAGGATAGTGACATTGTAATCAGTAAGCTAATCCCTCTTTTACAGCTAGTATGTACTAAGTGTCTGTGTTTGTATTTTCTCTTCAGATAGTGAAACACTATATATTTCCAAGAACTATTCCTGTTGATTTTGTTAACGATGATTGTGCCAAAAAGGCTGTACTTGTTAAATTTTGAACTAGCTACATGCACGTTTGTTGACCGTTATTTAGTTCAATGATTTATTAAATATGTGGATTATGCAAGAATACTCATTTTCAGTTGAAGACTTTAAAAGCAAGTTGAACCAAAGCAATACCTAGAATTATAAGCCTATTTCTTTCCAGAATCATTCTTTTCGTTGTTGAAAGTTGCGAATTGACCGTTCTGTTATTGCGCTGGTCACAATTGATTGAAGATACATTCATAAAAAATATAAAATCCATGTTTTGAACGTCTTTTATGATGAAAAGTATGAAGATGTTCCAAATTTCTGTGGGAGTTACGACTCTTGTTTCAGAGTTAACTATTCACAAAAATATCTATATAATATCTTTTGTGAATATGCTGGCAGTTAAGGAGCGGAATTTTGAATATATTCAATATTTCTGGTGGCTCAAGTAGAAATATGGTTCGATGTACTGTATCAAAATGTTAGTTCTTTGCTAGAAACAAGTGTTTTTAAGATGGTGGAAGTCAAATTTAGGAGTGCTCGAAGTCTAAAATGAACTATTCAAATTGTGGTATTGCTGTAGCCTTATAGTGTGTCTCCAATTCAGATTGAACGATCAGTCGCTTTGATTATCAGAAAACATTTGTTATAAATCTAGGGCGGATTTTGGAAAGACGCCCAACGTATTGCTATGTTTTTCTTTTCGAAAACTGACTGTATATACCATAAATTAGTTTGTCGTTTCTTGTTTGAAAGAAACGGAAGTTATGTCTACATCTGTTTTTCTATCATCACTTCTTCAAGTGATATGCATTTGTTTTCTAAATGCACATATTAGTCATTTTTGTCTGATGAATGATTATTTAACCCTGCTTTAATGTGTAAGTTTTGAATATTGTTTAATTTACTAACATTTTATTGGTAATATTTTTTACATTTTATTTTTACAACTTTTAATAATAGCCTTGCCTATTTATTTATTGTCATTCCAAATTCATATTTCTTGTTGCTTAAACTGTCTTAACAAGCTCAAATGACTGCATTCCTGCTGACGATATTGCAACAGGTTGCACCGGTAAAAAATGTCACCAAATCTAAAAGTTACATCTTCGACACTTATCTAGGTTTTGTTCGGAGATTTTTGTCAGAGTATTACTTTTTGAATGCATAATACTGAGTGCACCTGGCCATTTTCATAATATTGATTTTAATGGAAAATGAGACGCATTTTCTATAACATATTTACCGATTTTTTCTTTTTTTCCGTTATATGGAGTATTTCTATGACTGAATTTTGTTCTTAATGTAAATGTTGGTTAAGTAAACGTTTATATCTAAATTAATAACTATACCAAATGTTAACAATAATGACAGAATTGTTTATATCAATATACAAATATAATACATAATTTGTAAATAAAAAACATTCATTATTGATATGGCGTTTTATTTTCTTACCACAGAGGTTATAGTCTGGTGAATTTAAGTTTGCAAGTCCAATATGGATATTAAAAAGAGTGCGCCGATGGCGTCAGTGGCCTCCTCAGTTGTGTTGCTAGGCAACGAGGTGCTTCTATCTCTTTCTGACACACCTTTGGCACGCTTCTCTGTCGTGCACATTTCGACGTCAGTGGTACGTTGATTAAACGTGTTTATCGCATATCACAATCTGGATCACATCGGACTTTTTCATCAAGTTTGAGCTGCCAGATATTTTCGTTTCTGTAATCACAAAAACAAATATCGATGGCGTAACAGCAAAATTATATTCACCTCACGCCTCATGCTTCAATCATGGACAAACAATTTAAATGTTGTAAGAACGAGCTCTCGTGTATGTTTTGCATCACATGCTTCTCAGCTTTCCATAAGAGTTGCCTCGAAAGAAGGAAGAATATTGTTGAAGTAGGCAAAAATTCAATCTATTGCTCAGAGATATGCGTAAAAAATACGAAAGCGGAGGAAGAAAAAATAAACACAATTTACAGTGAAAATAGACATTATTACTCTGAATTAGAAAACCTTAAAGCAGAAACAGAAGAGAAACTCTTAAAATATGAGGCTGAAATTGAAGCTCTGATTAAGCAATCAAATGAGTATATCACCAGACTGCGAAGAAGAACAACAGATATTGAGGATGAAGTTTTGGATTTATATATATATATATATATATATATTCCGCGCAGGCGGAAGCCTAAATGCCAGAACACCGCGGCTGCTAAGATGATCCCAAAGAAATTTTGTTAATACGATTTTTGAACTGCCTAAGGTTAGTAGAGCTGCGAAAAGCTACCTCTTGTAGATTGTTCCACAATCTCGACACCCTCGGGACAAAGGAGTGGTCGTATCGGTCAGTTCTGGATGTACGAAGTTCGATACGGTTAGGATGGGATGCCAAAGTGAGGCGGGTGTGTCTGGCAGGCACATCGCGCGGCGGCATCATGGAAGAGAGCTCTGAGGAGGACAGCCCGTTGGTGTAGCGGTAGAAAAGAGCTAGATCGCCGACGGTGCGAAAGAGTCCCGAGACTGTCTGTGAGAAGAATCATCGATCAGTCGGGGACCGCCTTCCTCTGGACAGCATCGAGCATGGATAATGTAGTCGGGGCGGCAGCACACCAAACTTGTGAGCAATACTCGAGTCTAGGCCTTATCTGAGCCTTGTATAGAGTGAGAAGGTCATGCAGAGAGAAGTACTTCTTAGCCCTAAACAAATAGCCTAGTTTTTCCCAGCAGCTGCAGCTATTGACGAAATGTATACGTGCCAGATTAGGTCCTCGTTGATCTGGACTCCGACCAGCCGAAATGAATGACTCTTTGGCAGAATTCGGCCATCCATCGAAACCGGATGAGCGCTAGGACGTTTCTTGTTCGTCAAAGTACAGTACTGTGTTTTGGAAGCATTGAACCGTACAAGATTGTTGCGTCCCCAAGCAGTGATAGCCTCCAGGTCTCTTGTCAGAGAGATAAGGTATCTGGAAGAAACGCGAAACAACTGGATCAAGCTCGGCTGCACACCTCTTCAGTACAATGGCAGGAATCAAGTCCGGACCAGAAGCTTTGTTGATGTCGAGCGACAAGAGCACTCGTCTTACGGTCTTATGCCTGAATGTTACCTCCCGCATAGTGTAGGGAACCCTTTGAATTGACGGCACTTGGGCGTTGGGGGGGACGTCCATGGTGGAGTTGGAAGCAAAGATCTTGACTATCATTTCCGCCTTGGCCTTTGAGTCGAATACAATCGTTCCATCCTGACACGTAAGTGGTGGAAGGCTACTGTGTGAGAAATTCTTTTCAATCTGCTTGGTAAGCGTCCAGAAAGACCGACTGCCATTGCGCTGTGACATTACTCTGTGCCTGACTTTTATATCATGCTGGTTTTTGGCATTGCGAACCGCTTCGTTATATTTGTTTTTGGACTCGTCGGCTTGTCTGTTCTCTACAGTAGGGTTTTGTAAGAAGGTTCTGTGGGCCTTGATCTTCTGCTGGCGAGCAGTGTCACACGATTTGTTAAACCAGCCGTTGGACCCAGGTTTAGGCACTTAGACGTGGATAATTTTGGTTAACGAAGAACAGACAGCCGACGCATCCGCGTCAGTGAAACAGACATCTTCTCCAAGGAAAGCTAGAGAAGAAGTCTCTGAGGTCCTCCCAGTCGGCATGTCCGTTATGCCAGGTTTTGCGGCCTGTACGAGTTTCTGCTGCCACAGCGGGTTCTGACCGAAACCTAACCTCCACAACACCGTGGTCTCAGTTACCCAGGGGGAACATTAAAGCAGTGCTGTAAGGGACAGGATGCGTGGTCAGAAAGAGATCCGGTAGGCTACTGGCGTGTGACGAGACACGGGGGAAATAGCAGGGCTCGTCACCAGCTGGGTCAGCCCTTGAGTAAGAGCGAACGCTTCGACTGCACGACCTGCTGCATCGGTCTTGTTTGAGCCCAACCAAAGCTCATTATGGGCATTGAAATCACTGAGAAGAACTACTTCTGAAGCGGGGTGATTGATGTTCAGGAAGTCGATCTTGACGGTGAAGTATTCAAGTAGGTCATCCCAGTTCGGTGCAGACTCTAAGATTAATTATTATACATATACATAATTGTTTTGCGGACTATTTTTCAGATGTATGCAACTAGATGATAGCTGACACTTTTGGTCAAAACATGGGATTACCATGCACTCTAGCAGCTTCACGCCCCTCCAATTCAATCTTTGAGCCATACATTGGGGTATTAAGATCTATAACACCGTATATTTTGCTACCTCTGACTCGTTTAATAAATTGCTGCTTAAGCAGTGGGCTTTTTCCTGATTTGTTGAAGCTAGTTCTAATTTTGCCTCTTCACAAAAAGGGAAATCTGGATGATATAGAAAATTACAGGCAGATATTACTTTTTTAACAGAATTTTCTGAGGACATTGAGTGGGGTTAGTGTTACACAATTATTACTGACTTCGCTGTAAGATTCAACATCTTATCTGATGCCCAGCATGGCTTCAGGCAAAATAAGTCTGCGGCTACCTCTGAACTTTTAAATTATCTATTCAGAACTGGATCAAGGCAATTTCGTTCTAAGTCTCATGTTTAATTTATCGAAAGCTTTTGACAGCCTGAATAAAGATATAATACTATAAAAACTACATTCATTTGGACTTAGAGGCATTATTTTAAACTGGATCGAATCATACTTATCCAGCAGAAGTATTATTGTAAAAATTGATAATGTCTGATAGATACTCAGTCTACCTTGGTGTACCGCAGGGATCAGTGTTGGGACCATTTTTATTTATACTTTTCATAGATGACCTTCCAAATTTCATTTCAAAAAGTAAAGTCACAATGTTTGCTGATGATACTACAATCACGGTTTGTGGCAGTTCTGTTACAGAACTTGATAAGAACATCTTGATAGCTTGGTGTGAAAAGAATAAATTTATATTAGGTTTTGGAACTGGATAATTTTACGCAGGTACTTGAAATTCTTTAAATTCATAGGCTGCATACTTCTAAACAACCACAACAAAATTGAAGTAGATTGGTACTGATACTGATAAACACAGGATTTGTGACATGACAATTTTTGGGTGTATCTTATGTATTTTGAGTCCCTTAGATTAAATCTAAAAACAGAATTTTTCTATCACCCACAGATATTCGGTAACATCTACTTTTATGAGTTACAATACGTAACATCTCATATTGCTGCATTTCTCGGCGTTTATGCGATGACGCACATATATAATGTTAAGACGGGTCTATTCCTGTTTATTATATGCGAGCTATTTGTTTAGAGAGCATATTACGTTTATTAGTAGACTAATAGCAGCCGAGTGAGTTACGTTTTCTGTGTTGAAGAGTACTGAGATGTTCTGAGTACTGTTAATTTTTGTTAAAACGGAGTGTTGCTTTTAGTTTATTGTGATCGAGACCAGCTTTATGGACAATGCCTAGAAATTGTGTAAATAGTGCGAACAGTTTTTTGTTATGTGTGCGGAGAGCTAACTTTTAAATCCCAAAAACGTACTTTTACTTCCCTTGTGTTGAAAGCATACGAACTTTATTTTGAAATTAAAGTTGGCAACCAAGATAAACTATGGGCCCCTCATATATGTTGTAATACTTGTGTAACGTTGTTAACAGGTTGGTTAAGAGGCGACAATCGTAAAATGCCGTTTGCGGTACCAATGGTTTGGAGAGAACCGAGAGACCATACTATTGATTGCTGTTTTTGCCTCACAAATATTAAAGGTACTGAACCAAGATCGAAACATACTGTTAAGTATTTTAATTTACCATCAGTTTTGCGGTCCGTTAAGCATAGTGATCAACTTTATGTCCCAGTTCCACCAAGTTATGTACTTTGGCCCACTCTATACAATGTAATTATTATATTGCATCATCTTGGCGTTATCTTGTTTCATTCTATTACCGTTGTTAGAAAACTTAGAATTATCTCATATATGCAACCTGATACGTCCTCCATGCTTCTTAAGTATTAGCTTATGTATGTATTCCTATTATACGACTTTATAAAAACCGTTGTACCTTTTGTTTGGTAATCACCTAGCTATCAACTATTGTAGTAGTTAGATTCATCAGCGGGAAAATAAAAGTTATTTTTTAAAAACCCTCGTTTGCCCCTGGAAAACATAATTGGGGGCTCAACCGGGATCCCTAGTACGGTGCGTGTGTTAGAATAAAGAGTAATTCGGTGGCGATAAAGTTTCGAAACTATACTTACTCCAAAGCTATTAGAAGTGTATCGAGCATCACCACCGCACCGGTCGCTATCAAGTGTTTGTGGGGGAACCGCCACTTTTGCCAGCCAAGGGGAGATCATCCAATATCCATGAACGAGAAGATGACACCAGGGCGAAGAAGTCCACTGGCACCCGCCTGGTCAGAAGAAATAACGCCGCTTGGGCCCGAGGCCAATAGCAGAACCGGAAGAACCAGGAGAAGGCAGAGAATTTGGGCGCTTTCCACTATCGAAACGTCCAAAGGTCAACATCTGTAAGTCCCTATCTTTGTTCATTCTTTCTCTTGGTGTGCACAATTCAATTTAATATTTTATTCGTTATCGATTTACTATTGCTGTTATTAACATTATATATTCATATATATATATATATATATATATATTCATAATTTTTATGTTTAAACTTTAATGTTGGGTGGTACAACCGGCACAGGTTACCACTCGGATTCTGATTCTGATATCGATTTGCCCTTAAGACATTTTGAACACGAAATGGCCGAGGCCACAGGTACTGAAATAATGCTTACTAGGGATATGGTCCCCGAGTATCACGGAGGATCCAAAGATCTGCTTGATTTTATCAATAAAGGAGATCAATTTATCGATTTGCTTAAAAAACCTGACGTTAACTGTGTGTTTAATAAATTATTGCTTCATAATATTGTGACCAAAATCAGAGGTGAAGCACGTGACTTAATAATTCAAGCTACTCTACTTGGAGAGAATTGAAAGAAATTTTAGTTTCACGGTTTGGGGACAAACGTAACGAATCTTCTCTAGCACAGGAATTGGCACGAATGTACCAATTTCCTAAAGAAAATTATCAAAAATATTGTGATAGAATTAATGGTCAGTTACAAAAAAATTTGCAGCATATCATGCTACATAATACTTCACACGAATTAAGCGTGAAGGCAAAAATGTACCAGGATCAAGCCTTAAATAGGTTCATTAATGGTTTATGTGATCAATTTCGTTCAATTTTTGAAACATGCGAGGTGTCTAGTTCTCAATATACTTTATATAAATGCCAACATGCAGAAAATTTTAGATATGAGGGTTCAGTCACAATTTTTTTGCGAAACAGGAAATGCTTCACACCCAGATAAATCCGAAATCAATCTACGCCGACAGTATCGTCCCCATCACTTTTCTGCCAAAAATAATCAATTTTCCAGTAATTCTCAGGATGGTCTGAGAACACAGAATTACATTCCTTCCACGAGACCAAACTTCAATTCATTCAATACCCCTCGTTTTAATTCAGACCCAATTTTTCTCAAAATCCCGTTCAACTTTCTAGACCCACCTTTCAGCCCAATCAGCAAAGATTACAAAGTGTTCCAACTCCTATGTCAGTAGATCGTTCAACGACACGCCCTAGTATCCAACATCGGTCTAACTATTTACAAAATACAGAAAAACCGTCTTATATTGTTGAAGAACTTCACAATCAAGATGAATCTTCCACTAACTACGACAATTTTGAAACTTATAATGAGTATATCGAAAACGCTAACGAACAAACATCTTGCGATGATCATTACAACCTACATCAAGCTTTTGATCAACTAAACCTAGAAAAAATTTTACTATCCCGGCCTCAAACGAGGACAATCCATAGGTGACATAAATAATGTACATAATTTATCCACGTTGCCATATATAATTATACTCAGCTTAGGAATTAGTATGTTAGTAGATAGCGGTGCGTCAACATGCGTTATTAATCCAGATATTGCGTATCAGTATTTTTCAGAATTTATATTTCATGAAAATTTCCATATTAAAGCTCTTAACACAGTGTCCGAAGGATTCGAGAATATCCAATTTCCTATGACTTTGGTAGTACGAATCTATAAATTTTCACATTGCTAATTGGCATTCCAAATTTGAATGCTTAATAGGAGCAAGCGAATTGACAAAATTAGGTGCAAAAATAGATTTTACAACAAATTGCAAATAGGAAAACTAAAATACTGAAACACATCCTAGTTTATTTGTTCCATTTAGTAAGCCATAGACAAATTATTTGGAAATTTCCGTAGTAGTAGGTAACGGCCCTGTCGTGCTTCCTACCATAGAATTAGATGGATATTTTATACCCAGTTGCATAGCTACTTCTCGGAATTCCATAGTTAAAATCCCAGCACCTTTTGAAGAAACTTTAGATATCAATTGTCATGAACCAGTAGAATGCAAACCTTATCAAATGTACGAAATCAGAAAACCGAAAAAGGTTTTCGAAAATGTAGACATTCCTTCAATGATTCGTAACCAAAATTTAAATAGCGAAGAAAAACAAGAATTTTAAATTTGTGTGAGCAATTCAAAGACATCTTTTATCATGAGGATACCGACCTTAGCTTCACAAATAATGTTAAACATACTATTCGAACAACAGACGATGTTCCCGTTTACCAAAAATCTTATGGATATCCACATCATTTGAAAGTTGAAATTCAAAAACAGATTAAGAAATTACTGGATAACAAAATTATTAGGACGTCTATTTCACCGTATGCGTCACCCAGTTGGATAGTTAAAAAAGAAATTAGATGCTTCAGGTCAGAAGAAATGGAGACTTGTGATAGACTATCGTAAGTTAAATGATAAGACAATAGAGGATAAATACCCGTTACCACGGATAGAGGAAATCTTAGATAATTTAGGCAAATGCTCATATTTTACAACGTTAGATTTGGCTCAGGGGTTCCATCAAATTGAAATGGACCCCCAATCAATAGAAAAAAACTGCATTTTCAGTCGACCGCGGACATTATTAATATGTAAGAATGCCGTTTGTCCTAAAAAACGCTCCATCTGCCTTTCAAAGGGTGATGGATAATGTTCTTAAAGAATTATTGTATAAATGTTGTTTTGTCTATATGGATGACGTAATTTTTTCTAAATCACTTGAGGAACATTTACAGCCCATAAAAATAGTATTCAACAAATTAAGAGATCATAACCATAAAATTCAATTAGATAAGTCAGAATTTCTTTGTAAAGAAGTGGGATTTCTTGGTCACGTTATCACTCCCGAGGGGATGCGATACAAAAATGTCCTATTCCTACCACCAGTAAACAAATCAAAGGTTTTTTAGGATTTGTAGGATATTATAGGCGTTTTATTAAGAACTTTTCAAAAATAGCACAGCCACTAACTCAATGCTTGAAAAAGAATGCTAAGGTTTGCTATAATGAACAGCCGTTCATTGACGCCGTCAATAAATTTAAGGAACTGATTACAAACACACCTATTCTAACGTATTCCGATTTTTCAAAACCATTTACGCTGGCGACAGATGCTTCGAATGTTGCGATTCAGGTTCAGTACTATCTCAAAACGATCACCCCATAGCATTTTTCAGTCGCAGTCTTAATACTGCAGAACGTAATTATTCAACTGACGAGAAAGAGTTATTGAGTATCGTTGATTCATGTAAACATTTTCGTCCATATCAATTTGGTAGGCCGTTTGCGATTAGATGCGATCAAAAATCACTCGCTTGGCTTTTTAACCTAAAGGAGCCGTCAAGTCGCTTATATCGTTGGAAGTTGAGATTAGATGAATTTCAGTACAAAGTAGAATACATAAAAGGAAAAGACAATGTAGAAGCAGACGCTTTGTCTTGAGTCGAAATTAACGCAATAGATAAGAACGAAAATCCGGACAGAAACATCAATTATTTCAAAAATCCATTAGTCAAAGCGTGTATTCCCTTCAAAAAGCAAACCATAAAATCTGTACATCCATTTCTAAATTCAGAGAGTGAAGAAATCAATACAGATAAGCAAAGTCGGGAACCAACAGACTCAGATTTGTCAATTAATCCTGATTATGAGGATCCAATAAATCTGATAAGTTATTCCGAGAATCCCTTGAACTATTTTAAGCATTAAGTGAAATTCAAAATTTTGCATCAGTATCAAGATATCTATTATGTAAAAACAAAACTCAGCTATATGTGACTTTATGCCCAGATTCCATTCATTCCCAATTGAGCAGATTTTTCTTTTTCTTAGAATATTTAGATCCCAAAAATACATATATGGTATTCTTACATATAACAATGATCAGCACAAGGATTTAGAACCTGTTTGATACGTCCGTAAAAGCTGTATTCTGTACAAAACTTCTCAATGATATAGATGAGGAAAGACAAAAGGAAATTATTCAAAATTATCATAACAAAGGTCATAATGGAATTTTAGAAACCGTCAAGCACTTGCAAGAAAAATATTATTGGCCACATATGAAAAATTAAATCTCAAATTTTATCAATAAATGAGGCTTCCAAAATGAAAGGCATCCTTACAAGTATTCACTAGAAGGTCCTATGCTAGCTCAATATCCATTTGAAACCATTCATATTGATTGTTTTATTGTAAAACTTAAATCGTTCTTGACAATAATTGATCTATTTACAAAGTATGGCCATATGCATATGAAATCACTATCAAAAATGGCCTAACAATTTGTAAGGCATTACGGAAATATATATCACATCATGGAATTCCTAAGCGAATAGTATGTGATCCAGGTACGGAATTTAATAATTCACTTTTTAAAGAATTTTGTTTGTTACATGAAATAAAGGTTCACTTTACTACAAGCACCAACTCGAACTCCAATCGAGAGAAAATAACAACCTTATCTATCAAAGAATCGCAAACATCTCTTGATGAAACTATGCAGACTGCAACCAAAGTATCCATTCTGCAACAGACTTTTCCCCTCATCAGCTACTGTATAATACATTCGAACGAAATGAGTTAGAACTAAGCAAGACTGTATTGAAGCATATAACCAGAAACGTATCAACGAACTTCCTCGTCCTTTATCAGACTATTGCAGATAAAATGAAAGAAAAGTGTTAACAAATTTTGGAAAAACGTAATGAAGGTTTACAAGACCAATTACCCAGTATTGAAGAAGCTGATGAAATTCTTATCAAAACTGCAGGTAGAAACAAAATTCGTAAGAAATATACAAAATTAAAAGTCGATAAATCAAAGGGTAAAAAGGTAATACGCCAATTTGTAGGAGATAAGCAAAAACATATTATAAAAAGGCCACTGAAAAATGTTAAACGATTAAGAAAAGATTATTTACAGGATCGAGATCCACAACCTGAAAGTAGCGGTCAAAACGCATCGAATTGATCCTCATCATGGATATTTTAAGGAATCACTAGGTCCAGCGAGGGTAATAAGATATTACCATTCGATATATTATTACCATAATCTAACGCACACGTTACAAAATTACTACTTAGCTATAGATAGCTATAAGAAAATTTCCATCCAAATAAAAAATGATATGTCTGGGCACGCTTTACTTTTAGATTTGGGACACACTATAAGCTCCATTGAAGAATTACAAAAATTCACCTCAACACGTAGGCGATCTAAACGTGGCTTGACCAATGGTCTTGGTACAGTTATTAGATATATCGGGAAATTTAGATCAAAATGATCTTACTACTATAGAAAATAATTTTCATAAATTGCACGATACGCAAACTCAGATTATAGAGCAAGTAAATAATCAAATATCATTTTCACATGTAATTTCAGCAAAATTGGAAAATAATATGAATATCATTGAAAAGCCTTTATTAAATACACATGCCGCAATCAGGAATTTTAAGGAAGATACCAATAAACATATGGTCATTTCAAGGATTTTATTTGTTGCAAGACAGTTATATAATTATATTCGAAGTCTTGAAGTATCATTAACTTTAGCCTTGCAAGGAATTCCAAATTTAAATACCTTTTCGAGTGAAGAACTATGATTGATACAAAATTACCTTTCAAAAATATATACTCCAAAGGCTTTGATAAATGTTGGAGATAACCCGCCATTTCAAATATTACAACTGAGTAACCTAAGCATTGTGCACATCAGTGATGACATCTTATGTATCTCGAAAATTCCTATACTTCGTAAACTCCCATTCAATCTTTATTCTGTACATCCATTGCCAAATAACGAAAATATTATATTAGAACCACCTACTACATTTTATTTAAGTAATGATGTAAAAGAAGCTTGGACTGACACATCCTGCAAGTAAATTGAAAAATTTTATGTTTGCTTTTCTTCGCAGCGCACCAATGTATGCCCATTCAAAAATAATTATACGCATTGTGAATTCCATGAGGTCAAAAACGACTATTTCCTTTATAACGAATTGTGGAGCCAAAATGCTATAATTTTCTATTCAAAATCATTTCGAACCGTAGTAGAGAAATGTGAAGAGAACGTCAAGAAAATTAACCTAAAAGGTTCCTATATATTGAATAGCATATGTGATATAATAATTGATGAAGAGATATTTTATCTTTCAAATATAAATTTTACAATTAATGAAAATTCTAGTTGGTTACCTGAACTAAATATGACAGCCAATACTACAGTTGAATTGAGCAACTACCATTTTCTAAATTTGGAAGAATTGAAAACTACTCTCAAACAACCAATTCCTTATCAAAATCTAAATTTTTATCATGCTGGAATAATTAGCGGATTCTCCATATTTGGCGTAATAATTATTATTGGAGTAATTTATCTTATATACAAATGTTGTCTAAAAGACTTATTCATTGGAAAGGGTTC